GTACATTTTAGAAAAATTCATAATATAGTAGTACAGTGCTATATTTATCACATTCATAAATGTATGCTCAGAAGCCAATTTTACTGTATCAAGCAGTATACATGTGGCTGAGATTATGTTTATATGTATGCTGTGACACTATTTACATATATTGTAAACTTAATGTACTGTATTCTGTAATTTTAAAAATCCCAATGCAGTAATATCACCACACTGAATTATGTCTGAGTGTATTCTGTGCAATGTCAAGTATTTTCTACACACGAGTGCTGATCCAGTTGCAGTTTAAGGATGTGTTAACTAAAAAGCCTTTTTGACTATTTTTTGCATAGAATGCTCCATACAGCATATTCTCTGAATGTCAGTCACAGAATATGTTTGTAAATATCCATATATGCATCTCCATATATCAAACTATTTTTCCCACTTTGTACTTTTCTATACTTTTATATACTGTAATTTGATTTATCTGGGACAAGAAACCTTGAGCTCCCCCATCCCCAGGATGCAACCCCACAACAGTTGCCTACCTCCTGGGTACTTATTTACCAATAGGTGAACAGAGGAATTAAATAAAAGGAAAGGTGCCCAACCATTTCTGTCATACCTGGGAATCAAACCCAGAATCTCTGAATGTGAGTCAAGAATGAAGCCAACTGTGCTACGAGACCCAAATGCATTTTCTCTAAAATAATGAGTACAACACTGAAATCACTTGGGAAAACTACAGTACATCATTATTAACAACAATCAGCCATAAAATAATTTGGCACTTGTATTTACTATTATTATTCTTACCTATATACAGCTACAATAGATTACATTAAAGCCACCCATTAATATCCCAAGTTCTAATGTAAAGGCTGCTATAATACATCAGCCCGTCCTCCAAAAATAGGGTGGTAAATGTAAGAAGACAAATAAGTGCAATTATGTACTATTCATAGCAGTTAGGAATTGTACTTATTTTCACTTAGTATTAAATCGTACTGTCAAATATATTGTGAATATTTGAGTTTACCTGAAAAACTGAATAGAAAACCACAACCTCACCTAACCGTCTTAGTTTTTTAAGATAATAATTTTGTTGTTTCTTAATTACAATTAGTACTTAACCTATAGCTGTATTGATATTACAGTTTGATAAAACTAATAAAAAAAAAAATATCAATAAATTGTAAAGTAATTCAGGATATTTTAAAATTTTGCATAAAATCTATATTGCTTAATAAACCTGAAAAAGAAATTCCTGATATTTAAAACTTGTGTATAGCAAATTGAAGTTGAAATCTTCATCCTAAAATTCTGAGTGTCTTAACAGAAAACAAGGAGAATTAAATCGGGGGAGGGAGTTGGGTAAATGTAACAGCCCTGTAAGTGTAATTATGCACTGTTTATGACAATAAGAAAGTGTACTTATTACACTTAGTATTAAATCGTACTGTCAATTTGGAGGATGGGTTGCATACATACAGGTACAAGGTTTAGTCTTATTCGACTTAACAGACAACTAAAGTAAACAATTACAATACATACATACATTCTGCTTAATACAACACTGCAATTTTAGATACAGTACTTGTATCTGACATTACAAATGTTATACAAGTCGGTTCATAAATTTTTGTTATAAGTACAAGTATACCACATTCATTACAATTGAAACCTTTAAAAAGTAGAGCATAAAATTTATTTAACCTGCAATATGACCAGTCTTTAAGTAAATTTATAATTATTTATACAAGATCACTCTTTGTTCGATACTGAAAATTGCTTTGAAAATTTAAGATACTTAGTTAAGTCATAAGAATTAAGCAAGTAAGCAATTATTCAGAAACATATTACCCAAATATTTCATACATTTTATACATATATTGTTCCGTAGAATACAGGAGGTTGTGCATGTGTAGGGCTCAGCAGTATTGAGAGGGAAAGATATCTAGAAATTTATTAATATTCAGTGACAGTGCTATATAGAAAGTACTAAGCAAGGATGACTATGTAGCACTTTTGGGGGTACTGTACCTTTCTGTTCTTTCTTTTTCTTTTGGCTTGAGTTGATCTAGTATCCCGTTGCCTCTACTAGGGGGAAGCCAAAGTCTGGTTTTGATCCTTGGTAGGTCCCCTTGACTCAAAAGGGCCTGGTAGGGTACTTTAGGCCTTGAGCTAATAGAGTAGGGAACTTGGGAAGCCACTATAGGAAGCCCCTCCTAAGATATACCATGAAAACTTAAAGTTTTTTATGAAAGGCAGTACTACAAATGTCTATAAATAATGTACCATGTATTAAAACATTAAAGATTATTAACATATGATATAATACTGTACAGTACTATACAATAAAAAATTATTAAACAATAATTATCAGTAATTATTATACCTGTAATAAAACTTAATCAAACTTAAAAAATTATACACAAACTGTTGTTATAGAGCATCCATTAAGAAAAGCTCCCTAGAGTACAAGTCCAGCACACAACAGTGTATTTTTCTTTTGTCTTGGTGGTACAGTTGGGTTTGTTTTCGAATCACAATTGGGGATCCCGGGTTTAAATCTCAGATCGGACAGAAAGGGTTGGGCACATTTCTTATCACCTAGCAGCAAATAGGTACTAAGGAGTAGTCAGTTTGTTGTGCAGCTGCATCCTGTAAAGGGTCAGTAGTTCGACCTTGGAGAACCTCCATATAAGCCTAACATATAGTATATACTAAAGGGAATAAATAAAGGATAGAATAAAGGAAAGGAAATAGAATAAAGATAATAAAGAAAGAAACAGAAAATAAATAAAGGAAATGCATATATATACATATACAGTATACACACACACACACAATTGGGCTTCGACTTACGATGCTAATCCGTTCCCAGAGACGGATCGTAAGTAGAAGCGATTTTTCCCATACGAAATAAAGGGATTTGAATTAATCCATTCCTCACCCTCCAAAATATTAACATACAAATACATTTTATACTGAATGCAATGTTTTTTTTCTAACTACAATACAGTACCTAAGTTTATCTTACCTTTATGGAGGGTTCTTGATGGCATATGGAAGATAGTGATGAGGGGGGAGGAGGAGAGTTGTTACTGTTTGGAAGGGGAGTCCCCTTCCATTATCACATCAGGCAGTGATGTTTTCTCTGGGGTACTCTCTCTCTCCTAAGTTTTGCCTGAATACCACTAGGACCTGGTTGTGGTTCAGTGCTTGTTTGTCTTACTACAAATTTGTCAAAGAGACATTTGTTTTTCCCTTCGTTTTAACATTTGTCTGTAATGATGCATCACTTTAGCACCCATAATGTCCTTTTTCTTAGCCAGTATGGTGGATATCGTTGACTGAGATTTGTTGTACTGCCTAGCCAGTCCAACAACCCGCACACCATCTTCATATTTACGAATGATCTCTTGTTTCTGCTCTATGGTCATCCTTACATGGGATCTCATATGTTGAGCCTTACCACTGACTTTCCTGGGACTCATGGCGTGATATATAATAATTACTTTAATGTTCAAAATGCAAAAAATCACCACAAACGCGGAATTTCTTATAGGCGCGATCATCACTAAATGGGCAGCTGTAGTAAACTGAGGCAGGTCAGACCGCGTGACCGGGAACCACGTGCTCGGTCGACCCGAACGTGTACCAACAAATATCATTAGTTGACGACACCATCGTATGTCAAGTCGTATTTTTTTATGAAATTTACATCGTAACTCGAAATTATCGCAAGTCTGGGCAATCGTAAGTCGAGGTGCCACTGTAGGTTTATTTTCTCTATTTCTATTGTAAGTACATCTGCCACCTCATATGTAGAGTTTAGGAGCTCTGAGCATACAAGGTCCACTCTAATATACAAACCTACTTGTCCATGTGACCTATTTACTGTATCACATCAATATAAATCATATTTTGGTATCCAGCTCTTACTGTCAAAGTATGGATAGCCATACAGTTGCCAAATGTGCTGTGTTGTTATTGTGAGTGTACAGCAAGTATTTGTATTATATTAAGTTTGTTAACTACTATTACACTTCTGCAATATTCATATATTCATTTGACAAATCCTATTTGTTGGTCCATTTATCTAAATTAGTACTTAGTTGTACATTGTCAATATAAATCTGGTGACATCCTGTGTTGTGAAGCTATCTCTTCCTTGGTCAAGAAAGGAAAACCCCAGACCTCTTCCATCCAGAAAGCCTCAAGGAGAAGTCAAATATCCTTGCACTGCTATGGGTGAGGCACTCTTTCAATGAAGTATAGGGGTACTCTTACCCAACCACTTGGGCTGGATGATAGAGCGACGGTCTCGCTTTGTGCAGGTTGGTGTTCAATCCCTAACTGTCCAAGTGGTTTGGCAACATTCCTGTCCCCGTCCCATCCCATATTCTTACCTTAATCCCTTCCCAGTGCTATATAATGTAGTCATATCTTTCTCCTGATAGTTCCCTTCTCTTCAGGAACAGCCACCCAAACCCACCAAGGAAAATAACCCTGGCTAGGTAATGGCAACACCAACGAACACCCAGAAATTATTACTCTAGGCACATGCAGTTTGAAGTGAACAGTTAATCAGTCACATACAAGTGAGGCATAGATAAACATGCATTGCGAAACCAACACTAAATTATATAACAAATACACAAGCAAATGGCAACCGAAGGACAAAAATCATGTCAAGGATGGCTAACACTTCTGAATAATAATTTAATATCTGGGACTTGAAGAGATGGCAGGAATGAGTGTAACTGCAACATTATAGATGTGCATGCCAGGCAAAATGACTAAGGTTCAAGACTAGGGAAATGAGGAAGACGGTGTGCATTTCCCTGGTGGTGTGCAGGTGGAGCTACTTCACAACCTGGGTTCGAATTCATCAAGCAGTTATGCAAGTACAGTACTTACGAACCTGTACATTTTTTCTCAATCTTTGGCGGCTTTGTTTACATTTACGTATTAAACAGTTTACGAGCATCGAAACTTCCCTATCAAATACATCACAGCCCTTGTGGATTTGTTCCCAGTCAAATGTTGTTATTGTTATAAACAGCCTCCTAGTGCTTCGGAGCTCATAAACCATTTAATAAATGTAAACAAAGCCATCAAAATTAAGAAAAGATGTACTGTACAGGTTTGTAAATACTGTAGATACATAACTGCTTGTTGAATCCTGGCCCTGGTGGTTCATCTGTTTCAGGAGTTCGTGGTCTCATTTTCTACGTTTTGTTTACCTTGCTGATTGTATAGTTTGGTTTGCCCACCATTCTGGTTGCTTCTTGGTTAGGGTGATCAAGGATTCCCTGCTTCTTGTGACTCTAGAGGGGTCAGGTTTTGGCCTCTGGTCCCTGGGAGGCTTACAATGACTCATAAGAGCCAGGTGTGGATTGAATTGGGTGAAGATATCTATGTATTTAGCACCAAGGAGCCCTCTCAGAAATAAGATTCAAAACAGACAAGTACAGGTTTAAAATATTTAACACCACAGTATATACAATATATACAACAAACTTAATTTCATATAATGTGTCTTGTTTAAAATAAACAAATGAGAGAGAAAAATACTTAAGACTATGAATTTGTCAAAGGCTTGAATTCATAAATACTGTATAACTACTTACACAGAACAATATTTAAACACATTCCAAGATTTATATTTACTTGACTGGGAAATTCTTCAGAGGATATGAAACTTACTGAAAAATTATAAATATAAGCTACTACTGTATTTACAAAAAAATTGGCATCCAAATACCTATACTGTACTATGATGGTGAAACTTATAAATAGGTTATTCATCAATTGCATTAACATGAACAACAGCTTGTCCATCTGTGATAGTAGTAGTAGCATCACTGCGAACTTGTTGAAGGATAGATTGTAAGAGTTTGGGGTCCATGTCATGAGTTGCTACCACCTGTGGTCCCCCCAGCAGGTAATCTTTTAGGTAATCTGGGTGAACCTCCACTACAGAGTATGCTGCCTGTTGCTCTTCATTTGCTAGCAAATCAGCATCCATAGTTATTTCAGCCTCTTCTACAGTGGCCTGATTGCTTCCCTCCATGGTAGCCTCAGGAACAGAAGAAAGCATAGATATATCCACATTTTTTACCTCTTCCATACCCTCCATGTTTTCAACTGCTTCTGCATTTTCCAGGGAGTTCATTGCTTCAATCTGTGAAACATCTAAAATTTCATGAGCCTTGGCCAAGTGCTTTATCAGAGTGGTTCGTTGAGTGTAGCCCTTATTACATATACTACACTTGTAAGGATGTGAGCCAGTATGAAGTGACACGTGGCGCTCAAGCTGCAGCTGTGTGGTGAAGCCCTTACTACACACTGAACATAAAAATGGGTACTCTCCAGTGTGACGCATTTTGTGGTTAAGGAGATTCACTTTACTACGGAAAGGTTTGCGACATATATCACACTGGTATGGACGCTCTCCTGTGTGTTTGATTTTGTGTACAGCAACCTCAAACTTTTGTGCAAATCGTTTTCCACACACATCACATGCATGTGGTTTAACCTCCCTGTGCCTATATTTATGCTTTGTCAAATACTGTTTCTTGGCAAAAGATTTACCACAGTCATCACATGCAAAAGGCTTTTCAACCACCCTCTCCTCGTCCTCATGTTCTTCCATTTTTTCATGCACCATAATAACCTCTGGCTGTGGTACATTATCTGATTCAACCTGTTCTTGCTCTGGATCTGGTGCCTCTGTGAGCTCAGAATATGGTGTATTGGCTCCTTCAGGAAAGACCAAAAGTGGCTGTGAACCATCAACTAAAAACTGCTGTTGACTATTATCAACTAACAGCTGCTGGGTTGAATCCATAGCCTCACCAACCTCTCCCACTGTTTCAAACACATACAAGTGATGGGAATTATCTGCTGTTGTTACACTTTCTACTCCTGAGTTCATTATCATCATGCCTTGCATATGGCTTGCTTTGTGCTGATTCAAAAGCTCTGAGTTATAAAAACTCTCATCACATACATCACATCTTAATGCACTCACATCCTGGGCAGGATGTGAACGCTCATGACGTTTTAGATTTGATGAGCTACGGAATTCTTTTTTACACTGACTACACTTAAAGGGCATTTCTCCAGTGTGAATTAAGTTATGGTTCTTCAGTGCAAGACGAGATGCCAGTTGTTTTCCACAAAAACTGCATGGAAAGCTACGCTGACGTGAGTGAACATTGTGATGAGTATATAGGTATTTCTTCTTATCAAATACTCTACCACATATCTCACACATATAAAGATGGACCTCTACATTTCCATCTGTCTCAAGGCCTAGATTGGCATTCTGATATTGCTGTTGAAGGTGATGAAACTGTCTGTGCTTTTCAAGGTGATGTTCTCGCCGAAATTTGTGGTTGCAAATATCACACTTAAACATCTCCTCCCGAATGTGGTCCCGCATGTGTAGATTAAGACTACTGTTGTTTATGAAAGTCTTACCACAGTTACCACATTTAAATGGTCTTTCTCCAGAATGAATTCTCATGTGAATTTTGACTGATTCATGATTGGCAAAGTACTTGCCACAAGTTTCACATTGGTATGGCTTTTCTCCGCTATGCATTCTTTTATGCTTTATAAGCCGGCCACTCTGTGAACACCTGTAATCACACATATCACATTTGTATGGCTTTTCACCACTGTGAATACGCTTATGAGTGTTGTAATTACCACTTGTGGAAAAGCTCTTGCCACACTCACACTTGAATGGCTTGTCATCAATATGTTTCTTCTTGTGCATGATAAACAATGATCGCTTGTGAAAGTTTCGTCCACACTCATCACAGGTAAACATGAATGAATGCATGACCTTATGTCGAATTATATCACTCTTGTGCACAAACAATTTATTACACAAGCCACACTTTAGAAGTGGAGTGCCAGAGTGTAAAAGTTTATGGCGAACAAAGTGACTTTTATGTGCAAAATCAATACCACATTCATCACACTTGAGGATTAACGGAAGTGTACTTCCACTAATCATCTCCCCTCCCTCCTCTCCTTCCTCATGAATGAAGGGCAAATCAGGACCAGGACGAAGAGCTTCACGCAGATGCACATGAGAGTGTCTGATTAAAGTTAGTTTTGTGGCAAAAGCTTTCTTACAAATGTCACATTTCCAACTCTTCACTCCTTTGTGGGTTAATTTATGCTTTTGCAGATACCTTTTCTCACGAAATGTACGGTGACATACATCACATTTATAAGACGCTGATAGTTTATGTGTAAGTTTGTGAGTGAGAAGCGAGACATAAGATGGGAAAATCTTATGACAGTACTCACAATTATGCTCACCTTCACTCCTTAAATCTTTACTAATTTCTAAGTCTATTCTTTCTTCTTGCTTAATGCCACGACGTTGCTCTAATAACTGCTCCTCGACTTCTGATATTTCTACAAGACGAGATTTCACAGACTGGCCTGCATCTCCATGGCTATCAAGGTGATATCGAAGCAGGGCTGGAGTAAAGAAAGTTTTACCGCATAATTCACACTTATTTTGGTTTTTTAATCTGTGAGTCCACAATTTGTGTCTGACCAATGCTGCACTTTGTCGGAAACTCTTTAAACAAATGTCACATTTAAATGGTCTTTCACCAGTATGAACTAAAACATGCTTATCCAAAGCAGACTTCAGTGGAAAACCAGCACCACAAAGATCGCATTTATAATTCTTTTCTTGTGTATGTCCTCTTTGATGCCTTACAAATTCTTGATGTTTTCTGAAGTTCTTTCCACAAATAGAACAAACATAAGGAAATTCCTCTGTTGGCAAAGTGTGTATTATAGATTGTTGTTCTTCAAAAATATGAAGCTGTTTGTGCTGCTCAAGTTGTTGTTCTGTAGCACAACCAACACTACATACATCACAGTACACTTCTTGATCACCAGTGTGAGAATTTGTGTAGTGATCACAGAGCACATCAACATCCGTGAATGATTCCTCACATATGCCACATTTGAATGGATTTGTAGGAAACTTGCTTTCAAGAGTTTCTGACTGTTTAGGTTCATCATACAGTTCAGAGGTTTTAGGTGCATACCCTTCATTGAGCTGTTCCCGAAGCTGTTCCACAATTGAAACTTCATCTGAAAATGGTTTCCCAGCAGCTTCATCTTCCTCTTTGACTTCAATGCCATCCCCGTGCACAGTGGTCATATGCTTGGTCAACGTTCTTTTGTAAGTGAAATTGGCTTGGCACACTGTGCATTTAAGTTCATCCTGAAGACCTCCAACAGGGTCACTAGATCTCTTGTGAACCTTTCTGTGCCGGTTGAGGCCACTGCTAGTGACAAAACCAAGACTGCAAATGTCACAGATAAATGGACGATTTGAAGTATGGGTTTTCATGTGAGTGTAGAGAGTATCACGGTGAGCAAAAGTGCGATTACACACTGAGCACTTGAATTGATGATTTTCTTCATGAATAGTTAAATGCTTTTTCAGCTGTGATGCCTGTGTAAATGCCTTGAAGCAATGCTGGCATTGATGAGGTCTCTCTCCTGTGTGTGTAAGAATATGCGTTTTAAGATGAGAGGAATCAACAAAACCTTTTCCACAGTAATCACAACGATGTGGCCTCTCTAATCCATGAACTTTGTGGTGAGCTTCCAGAGCTGTATGAGATGTACAAGTCTTGCCACACTGATCACACTCATATGGCCGAAGATTATGCTTCTGACGCAGGTGACGGATGTAGTCGCGTTTAAATTGGATAATGTCTCCACATTCTTCACACCTGTGACCATTGACACCAACATCATCTGAAATGAAGTTTTATGTAACTGAACTGTAACACTTTATATGTATTATATGTAAAACATGCACTCTTTATCATTGTTATACTGTATAACTTTTTATGCATTTATAGCAAAGTAGGTAATGCAGATTTATCATAGAAAATAGAGCATCAAGTGTAATGAAATGCCACTTTCTGTGTGGCAGTTCAGTTGCTGTCTGGAGCTTATAGCACTTGTATTGCAGGACCACCCCTTTATTATCAGGTTCCTGACAATTTTGGGTCTACTGAGACCCAAATCCAGAATCTGGCTCTCTTTAATTAACATGTTCATTTCTGAAACATGTTCCTTTGAGGAGAGCCAGAAAGAGGTCCAACGTAGAAAGAGAATGCAGACGACACTATAAAAGAAGGAAAAAATAATGGAAATGCTTATGCAGACACGAATTTCCCGTCAAAGTAGGAATAATTTAAATAGGGAGACTGAAAAAATCGAGCGGAAATTGAAACACTCATATCAAACTGAAGAAAGGCAGTTAGAACAGAAAGCAATTCAGGAAATAAAGAAAAATCCAAAATACTTCTTCACATATACAAAATCAAAAGCAAAAACCACTGCCAGTATTGGACCTATTTGTACAAGTGAAGGTTCATACACAGAGGATGACAAAGAAATTAGTGAAATCATAAAAAAGCAGTGTGAGGACATGTTTAGCACTCCAATAAACAACATGAAAGTGGAAGATCCAGACAATTTCTTTATGCAGGATATCCAAACCCCTGTAAATATAACTGATATCAACACGAGCGTACTAGACTTTGAAAGAGAAATTGAAAACATGCCCATGCACTCGGTCCCGGGTCCAGATTCATGGAATTCAATATTTATAAAAAAATGCAAAGTGCCAGTAGCACAGGCACTCAGTATAGTGTGGAGGAAGAGCTTGGACACGGGGGAGATACCAGATGCACTTAGAGTAGCAGACATAGCTCCTCCACACCAGGGAGGGAGCAAAGCATTGGCAAAGAATTATAGAACAGTTGCACTAATGTCACACATAATAAAAGTATTTGAGAGAGTGATTAGGAGTCAGGTCACCAATTTCATGGAGACCAATGACCTTCACAGCCCAGGCCAACAAGGATTTCGAGCGGGAAGATCGTGCCTCTCACAGCTACTTGATCACTACGACAAAGTCACTGAGGCATTAGAATAGAAACAGAATGCTGATGTGATTTACACGGACTTCGCAATGGTTTTCGACAAATGTGACCTTGGTGTGATAGCACACAAAATGAAGTCATTGGGAATAACCAGTAAAGTAGGACGCTGGATACTCAGTTTTCTGTCAAACAGGACTCGGTGAGTAACAGTTAACCATATAAAATCTAGTCCAAGTGCAGTTAAAAGCTCTGTACCTCAGGGTACAGTCCTTGCACCACTGCTTTTCCTTATTCTCATATCAGATATAGAATAAAAATACAAGTCACAGCTTCGTATCATCCTTTGCAGATGACACAAAAATCAGTATGAAAATTACCATGGCTGAAGACACTGAAAAACTTCAAGCTGATATTAATAAAGTTTTCGACTGGGCATCAGAAAATAACATGATGTTTAACAGTGATAAATTCCAGGTACTCGGGTATGGTAAAAATGAAGACCTTAAAAATAACACAGGGTACAAAACACAATCAAATGTGCCCATAGTGGGAAAACAGCATGTAAAGGATTTGGGAATAATGATGCCTGACGACCTAACGTTTAGGGAGCATAACCAAGCAAATATTGCGTCAGCCAGAAATATGATCGGATGGATTATGAGAACTTTCAAATCCAGGGATCCCATCACAATGGTTGTACTCTTCAAGTCACTTGTGTTGTCCCGTTTTGAGTACTGCTCAGTACTCACTTTCCCCTTCAGAGCAGGAGAGATTGCTGAAATAGAGGGAATACAGAGAACATATATGACACGCATAGACGCGATAAAGCACCTAAATTATTGGGATCATCTCAAAGCCCTCCAAATGTACTCACTAGAAAGAAGACAAGAGAGATATCAAATAATATACACATGGAAGATACTGGAGGGCCAAGTACCAAATCTACACAGTAAAATAACAACGTACTGGAGTGAACGATATGGAAGAAAATGCAGAATAGAACCAGTGAAGAGCAGGGGTGCCATAGGCACAATCAGAGAACACTGTATAAACATCAGAGGTCCACGGTTGTTCAACACCCTCCTAGCGAGCATAAGAAATATTGCCGGAACAACTGTGGACATCTTCAAGAGGAAACTAGATTGTTTCCTCCAAGAAGTGCTGGACCAACCGGGCTGTGGTGGGTATGTGGGTCTGCGGGCCGCTCCAAGCAACAGCCTAGTGGACCAAACTCTCCCAAGTCAAGCCTGGCCTCGGGCCGGGCTTGGGGAGTAGAAGAACTCCCAGAACCCCATCAACCAGGTATCAATCAGGTAACCCTTGTGTTGCTAAGGGCTATTTAGCCTTTGTCACCCACAGGCACATAAAAAAAAAAAATCTTCCTAACCTGCTAATTTGTGTTCCCTGACCATGAGAAAGAAAAATTTAATTGTACTTACCAATGATGTAAATGAGCCGACAATATGAGCGATGACGTCACACCCTGCATGATTGCTCATGCAAGGTGCGTCCCGGAGGCGTCGCGCGAGGTCTTCAAGCAGCCAGAGTTGCCACAAATTTATTTTTGCCGCATTATATACAGTGTCTAGGCATATTTTATCACAATTTTTTTTCACTAATTGTGTTGCATATAATGTTACTTCATGTTCAATGATAATACAACTTGCATACATGAGTATACACATGTGCACACAAATGTTTTCAATTACGCCAATATAATATGTGTTCACATTTTTCATTATAATTATTTACACACATCCACGCACTATTTACAGGTTTTTGCACTATTATTGCATATTTACAAGTCTTGGAGACAGCTATAGTCATTGAAGCAGTTGACAGCACACAATGGGACTGCACACCCTTCACACCATGTTTGCACCAGTTTACGTTTCTGTTCTCTTTTTTTTTTGTTCTGCAAACTAAGCAATCACGTTGGCCTATTGCACGCTTTCCAGCTGGTGGCAAATGTTTTAGTCTGTGTACTTGAAAGTCCTCCATGGAAGTGAGCCTGGGTGTAGCAGCATGCTGCAACACTGGGTTCATGATGGGTCTTTGTATGCCAGGAACATCTTTGCTAAACTTTGTTAGTAACTGTGTCACAAGTGTTAAACCAAATGAATGGAAACTTTGTTTACGTCCAGTTTCCATCAGATACATATTGTAGCTACTCAGCATGCTTATGTCAACATGATGGAAAAACACTTTTTTTGTCCACTTCAATGTTTTCCTAACACACTCGACAGTGCCCACCATCATGTCAGATTTATCAACCAAATGCATGTTGATATTATAATCAAGAACACAATCTGGTTTATATACTGGTTCTTGCGTTACTCAGTTCACCTTGCCACTGTTCACCATTGTACCATCATGAATGGTTGTCAGCAAGTTCACTTCTCTCTTGTCTTTCCACCTAACTGAGAGTATTTGATCACTTTTTCTTAGCTGGCAGTCACCAACTTTAAAATTACTGTCAAACACTGGCATTTCCCTTTTACTTGGCTTTACTGTGCCAACCATTCCAGTTCTATTTTCAATCAAGAACCTAGCTAGCAAGGACTTGTATAGTAGTTATCCGTGTATAAAATGTGGCCCTTGTTCATCCATGGTGCCATCAATGACTTCACCACACTACCTGAGAAACCATGTTGGTCGTTACCAGGAATGTCTACATTGCTAGCAGAATACAGAATCATGTGTAACACGTATCCAGTTTCACAATCACAAAGAACAAAGAATTTAAATCCAAATCTGTTGTGTTTGGAGGGAATATACTGCTTGAAGGCAACACATCCTTTGAAAAGCACAAGGAATTCGTCAATTGCCAGCTTCTGTGCTGGTACATAGAAATCTCTGTACTTTCCAATTACTTCATTCATAATGTGCCTGACTCTCGAAAGTCTATCATCCTCTGTCTAGTCTTCATTACTTGCAAAATGAAGACACCTGAGGAGTATCTGAAACCTGTCTTGGGACATGTATTTCCCAAACAAAGGTGTTGGAACAGTCTGGTAATAATCCAATAATCTCTGACAGCGTGTTTAACAGTTTCATCAACATACATAGTGCCAAAAATACATACATTTCACCTACAGTAGTGTTTTTCCAACACTGTAATCGTGAAAATTCTGTTATATTTTTTCCAATGAGATGAGCCGCATGAAGGTTCGTTTGATGTACAATATATTCCATGAGCGTCTCATCATAAAATGCTATAAAATAGTCTATTTCCCGCATGTCCTCATCAGTATCAGGGGAAAAGGTCTGTAATCCCAACGTCTTTATTGTCAAAGGCATAAATTACAGGAACAAAAGCGTCACCATCACTCCACACAAGTACACCTGGTGCCCTGCGAGACGAAACAGCGGCACGACGGCGAGAAATTGTTGCACACCATGGACCAGGAGTGAAGCCCGTCTAGGCAATGTATGGGTGCTACGTGAACATGAGGTAAAATCACGTGAACATGAGGGTCTTGGTTCTTCATGTGGTGCCATGCGGCGGCGCTTGGCTGGGCGAGATGCTGCTGACACAACAAAATCTCGCTTGGTAACACCACTGGCACTAGCGACAGGCATGGTTATCTTCAGGTTATCTTGAGATGATTTCAGGGCTTTTTAGTGTCCCCGCGGCCCGGTCTTCAACCAGGCCTCCACCCCCCCAGGAAGCAGGCCGTGACAGCTGACTAACACCCAGGTACCTATTTTACTGCTAGGTAACAGGGGCATAGGGTGAAAGAAACTCTGCCCATTGTTTCTCGCCGACGTATGGGATCGAACCCAGGACCACAGGATCACAAGTCCAGCGTGCTGTCTGCTTGGCCGACCGGCTCCCTGGGTACCCTGGTAGTACTATGCTCTGAATCCACTTCACTAAAACCAGAAAAAAGAGTCACCTTCCTCTGACTCATCACCCAAAATATCCTCATACTCTAAATAAGTACAAGAACTGTGTGGTCGTGAGTGAATTAGAGTAGACACTGGGCGAGGTGGAACTGGTGAGCATGTAGGCCTCGCCCTGGGAGCAGGCTGTATCTCATATTCACTGTCTGTGCTACTATCATCAGTCAATTGTGTGTAGTCCTTATCAATGTCAGAGTCATCAAAATCACTTTCCTCATCATCAGAAAATAATTCACTGGTTATTTGCTCTTGAGTAAGTGACTGCGTGCTGTGTGCCCGGGAGGCGTTTGGCCATGCACTCGCCATGGTGACTGCTGGGTAACTAAGGCCTCCCACGCGTTGGTGGCGAGAGCAGGATTTTTTTTACAAAATGGCGGCTGTTTACTGTAGCCCTTAGGCAGCGTATGGCCCCCCTCCCCTACCTCGCTGGCCATTCAAATCTTGCGCGGTACTCCATCACGTCATATGACATTATCTTGAGATGATTTCGGGGCTTTTTAGTGTCCCCGCAGCCCGGTCCTCGACCAGGCCTCCACCCCCAGGAAGCAGCCCGTGACAGCTGGCTAACACCCAGTTACCTATTTAACTGCTAGGTAACAGGGGAATAGGGTCAAAGAAACTCTGCCCATTGTTTCTCGCCGGCACCCGGGATCGAACCCGCGACCACAGGATCACAAGTCCAGTGTGCTGTCCGCTCGGCCGACCGGCTCCCGTGTTGCGCAATTTGGCGTAAGTTACTCAACACGTCATATGACGTGTTGTGTAGTTTAAGGGTTAAAGAGGTTAGGGACACACATATGGGATCAAAGATTGCCTTACAATAAAGATGAACTGACCGAGAAAAAAGGTGAAACAAAACAATCCATTACTGTATGAGAAATTAATGAAATCAAAGAAAGCAAGGTAAACTATACTGCAAGAGCTCACTAATCTGGACCCCATTAACCTGGACTTTTGGGTAATCCAGCCAAAATCAAATCCAAGTTTTTGTCTGCAAAACTTCAACAACTTGGACAGAAATCTGGGATACTGGGAGTTTTTGCTGGATTGCTTAATAACACTGGAAGACCTATGCTCACAAGAAACCAAGGGCCTTCAACCAGCAAAGCCTCAGCAGCAGGCAGTCAAAACTGACCTTGCCAATCTCATGTACAGTAATTTTAGTGTTGTGTTGTGTTAATAAATGAACATTATTGTAAAGAATAAGAAAAATATAATACCAATAGTATATCAAATAATAATTATTTCTAAAAATTGTATGTCTAGGTTGTACAGTGTGTTTCCCTGCTAAAATGGGTATTTATTTTCACTTATGTATCAAATCTGATAGAGAGGAGGTCTATGGGAGGGTTCTGGATAGAAACTGCCACCTGAGGACCACATAAAGAACACTGCAAAGAGCGTATGCTACACTTTCCAATACATTGATGGTATATTCCTTAACTGGACACTAATTATAGTAGCCCTTGGAAATGGGTAAATGAGAAGTGTGTTAACTGCAGTAGTTCTGGTGTTAAGCTGTGGAGGGAGCATTTAAACTTAAGTGAGCAGTAACTGTTTGGTCCATGCAAGAGGGTAGAATACATAAATTAACTATGCTATGATGTGAGCAAATCATAGTGAACATTCATTGAAGTAGCAGTAGCCAAATAAAGGGGTAGAATAATTCAAATGAATTATGCAGTGTGAGGATGGTGTAACAAGCTCTATGATAAGAACCAGAACAAGTGACAGTTATTCCTCTTAGAGAGACCTATGTGAATAACAGATTTTTTATTGTGTTTGAGGTGCTGACAACAAATACAGAATGAACTGGGCAGTGTCAATTGGTCATGGTAGCATACATTCAGCTGAATTAAGAAAACAAAGCTTGCGATATAATGCGCGAAGCTGTGAGATGCAGCAATGGGATGATGGAAGAGCCTAGTCAGGACAACCTGTGGACAGGGAAAGGAACTATCAGGAGAAAGTGCCAAGCCATTACGGCTATATAGCACTTGGAAAGGATCAGGATAAGTATTTGGGATGGGACAGGGAAAAGGAATGGTGCCCAACCACTTGGATGGTAGGGGATTAAACGCCGACCTGCACGAAGCGAGACGGTCGCTCTACCATCCACCCCAAGTGAATGGGCACAGTCTGAGGAAATAATTCCTTATTGGGGATACAATTATTAGTGTTCTTCAGATGAATTTTAATGCAGTGCCCTTAAGAAAAATATTTAATATAATATTTGCATTAGAGAGAGAGATAAAGATATAAAGTTTGATGTCTATGCATAGCTTTCTGAAAGGAGATTTATTTACATTGATTACAGTATAACCATTCACTTATCTTCCAATGAGTGAAAATGATAAATATATTTGTGTATTACAGAATAGATAAATGGTGACAATAGGACCTAAGTGCCAAATTATCAAGTAGTGATTTCTATGCCATTACATAGTTAAGAGGCAGTGTTAGACACAGTATATAATATTCCTATTTTATTTTATTTTTTTTTTGTACTAGCTAGAAAAAATGTTGGTGTTTCAAGAGTCCCTTTCTTCATACCATAATGAGTGATGCTTGGATGGTAGAAATCTGTCAAAACAAGCTGGTGACCAGTAATTCACAACTGTTAGTTCTAGCATCCTAGAACCAGTAAGAAGTAGCAAGATGCTGATAGATGCACAGCGCCTGTATCAGTGTTGAGGGGAATCTAGCACTCAAATGTGAAGTACTTGGTGAGTAGTTTCAATATGAACATTTAGAATAAAAATGCGACTTGGTGTGCCAAAGTAGGCTCAATTCTTCTTAACACTTTCGTCCAGCGGCGACGCAGTCTGTGTCAATAAATAAATTAACGGATGTCTGCTGGTGACGCATGCTGCGCAAAATTTTTAAATATTTGTTAAGATTGCATTTATTGTTCAATTATTATGGGACTAGTTTTAAAATGCGCAATATAAACGATTTCATGCCAAAATGAATGACATAGCACAACAATTGAGGTCAGAACACTGGAAAGATTATAAATACTTGTGTGGTGATGAGCATCCAAAAATTAAAAATATTTGGTAAAATTAAATTTATTATTCGATTATTATGGGACTAGTTTATAATGCACACCTTTAGATTGTGAATAATTTGATACCATAATGAACGATGTAGCACAACAATTGAGGTCAGAACACTGGAAAGATTATAAATACTTGTGGTGATGAGCATCCAAAATATACTAGTACTGTATTTGTTAAAATTTCTTTTATTGTTCAATTATTAAGGACTAGTTTTATAATGCGCACCTTTAGATTGTGAACAATTGGATACTTAAATGAACGACGTAGCTCGAAAATTGAGGTCAGAACACTGGAAAGAGTACATATGTTAGTGTGGGTGAGTGCTCCCAGGAAACGCCAGGCCCACCTTGGGGTGGGTTTGGGCGCACATGCCAGATGAGCAAAAGTGTTAACTGGGCAATCGGAGCCCAACAAGTCTCTCTGGGTAGTTGCGGCTCCTGTAGGGACTGAACAGATTAATGTTCTTTACTACCTTCCCTTGATGAAACTGATGACACCTAATGCATCTGTTCACCTAGCAATGAGTAGGAACTCAAGAGTTAGTCAACTTGTTGTGGGGATGCAATCTGGGCAGGGGGTCAGTCATTCGACCTTGGGTGGGGACCTCAACATAAGCCTGATGTATATGAATACACTATGGCTGCCTGTCTCCAACACAACGAATTATTATATTATTATTATTTCTTTGAGTTTTAATGAATGTACCTCTCTTCATCATTCTGAGCAAGTCTGAGTGATTTCCAGTGGCTCTCAAGCACCCATTATCACCCAGCAAGGATGTTCTGAAACTCTCTGAGGCACCTGGTGCTAGAATATCATCCTACTTGACTGTTTGTGATTTTGGTCAATAGACACATGTAGATCTTACCTTAGGAGGCAACAGAATGTGATGTCTCAGAAAAAGAAATTCACAATATTTTACTCAATATAATAATGTATAAATAAAATTAACTTACCAGTTGTAAGATCCATATCCTCTTCTGTCTGAGTACCTTCTGAAAATGACAAATAAAACTTAAAAATAAAGTGAATTACAGTACTGTTCATATTATTTATTATATATATATATATATATATATATATATATATATATATATATATATATATATATATATATATATATATATATATATATATATATGTCGTACCTAGTAGCCAGAATGCACTTCTCGGCCTACTATGCAAGGCCCGATTTGCCTAATAAGCCAAGTTTTCATGAATTAATATATTTTCTCAAATTGTTTTCTTATGAAATGATAAAGCTTCCCATTTCATTATGTATGAGGTCAATTTTTTTTGATTGGAGTTAAAATTAACGTAGATATATGACCGAACCTAACCAACCCTACCTAACCTAACCTAACCTATCTTTATTGGTTAGGTTAGGTTAGGTAGCCGAAAAAGTTAGGTTCGGTTAGGTTAGGTAGGTTAGGTAGACGAAAGACAGTTAATTCATGAAAACTTGGCTTATTAGGCAAATCGGGCCTTGCATAGTAGGCTGAGAAGTGCGTTCTGGCAACTAGGTACGACATATATATATATATATATATATATATATATATATATATATATATATATATATATATATATATATATATATATATATATATATATATATATACATACATACATATATATATATATACTCACACACATACATATATACATATACACACTGTGGTACCTCGGAATACGAGTGTCCCTGTATGTATACGAGTTTTTGGGAATACGAGCAGGATTTGCTCGGAAAATTTGCCTCGGAATGCGAGGGTTACCTCGGAAGACGAGGGTGTTGATACGCTTACAGGTCGACTAGCGCATGGTGGCACGGCAATCGCGCCCAGTGACTATCCCACCTGAATTCTTCACAAGGATTTACAGTTTTTTGTCGGATTTTTGGCCATTTGAGCATAAAAGTTGTTATTATATATCTTGCCATAGGTCCCAAGAAAGCCAGTGGTAAGGTTCAACCTAAGAAAATAGTTGTTAGTACTGTAGAGGCAGTAGAGGATGTCCCTTCGTCAGTGAAGACTAACATTAGTACAGTGGGGCCTCGATTTACGATGGTAATCCGTTCCCAGAGACGTATCCTAAGTTGAAGCAATTTTTCCCGTAAGAAATAAAGGAATTTGAATTAATCCGTTTCCTGCCCTCCAAAATATTAACTTACAAATACATTTTATATTGAATACAATTTTTTTCTCTAACTACAATACAATACATATGTTTATCTTACCTTTATGGAGGACTCTTGATGGCGTATGGAAGATGGTGATGCAGGGGGAGGAGTAGAGGTGTTACTGTTTGGAAGAGGAGTCCCCTTCCATTATAACATCAGGCAGTGATGACTTTTCTGGGATACACTCTCTGGCATGTTTTGCCTGCATACCACTAGGACCTGCTTGTGGCTCACTGCTTGCTTGTCTTACTAAGAATCTGTCTAAAGACACTTGTTTTTCCCTACATTTTAACACTTGTCTGTAGTAAGACATCACATTGTCATTTAAAGGTCAATGCAATGGCCTGCTACAGCTTTATCTGGGGGAGTTTTTTCAACAAAGCTTTGCAGTTCTTCCCATGCTTCACACATTTTCTTAATGAGGAAGGGACATCCTCTACTGCCTCTACTCACAACTATTTTCTTAGGTTGAACCTTACCACTGACTTTCTTGCGACCCATGGCGTGATATATAATAATCAGTTTTATGTTTGAAAAGCAAAAAATCACCACTAAAACGGAATTTCTTACAGGCATGATCGTCACTAAGCGGGCAGCTCTAGTAAACTGAGGCAGGTCGGCCTGCATGACCGGGAACCACGCGCTCGTTCGGCCCAAACGTGTACCAACAAATATTGTTAGTCGACGACACTATTGTAAGTTGTGTCGCATTTTTCGATCAAATTTACATCGTAACTCGAAATTATCGTAAGTCGAGGTGCCACTGTACTTGATACATATCTCGTCATCAGTGTAATCACCTGTCAACTTGTATTGTAGGTATATGTTGATATAAATTTTTGCCACATTGTACCTTATCATCTTACCTGATATTTTAGATTTAAGAGCTGCCCAAAATGTTATGTGTGTGTTAGTTTCTTTGCAAGAATGTAAAAATACAAATCTTATGTAAACTCACAAACCCATTGTACCTTCTTGTAAATAACAATTATTATTATTATCATTAATCATCAAAAATAAGCAAGTGGAGAGTATCCCAATTAAGCAATTTGTTTAAATTATGAACTTATGTGGCAGGAGGTTGCAGGTCTGTTGAGTATTAGAAAATAGGGACATAAGTTCAAAATGGTTGAGAACTACTGGTACGGACATTTTCATCTATGAGAATCTGTCATTAACCACCTCCTCTTTAGCACTGATGTGCTTTAGTAGTTTCATAAGTACAGTAGTACAAAAATAACTGGAAGATAGGATACTTAACTGAGACACTGAACAAATACTGAAGATATAAACAACATGAGACTGACCTGTAGTTGTATGGTCATGGAATTCACCCTGATGCTGAGCTGTTGGTGGCGGTGGAAGCATGGTGATCACCATCTCCCCGGTCTCAGGCCTTTGGAATGTGATAAGCAAGTTGTGCTTTTCTGCATCTGTTAATTCTCCATCTGTCATGCTAGTGACCAAGTCACTGGCACCAACCTCAGTCATATGGGCAGTATCCATGGCTCCTCCTAGAATGTGGTGCTGATTGTCTGGCTCCAACTTGATCATCGTTGAAGAACATGGCCAATGCTTCCTTGGGCGCCCTATTAAGAGAATTCTTACATAATACCAAAATTATATGAAAATACTTCTAATAACACTTCCAATAAAATACAAAGCAAATTACTGACAAAATCAGATTGTACTACATGATAGTAATTTATTTTACAAAAATTATGAAAAATTCAGTGTTAATTAAAATATAACATCTCATTCTGGTGTGTCCCTCAAATGGGTCCCACCTGGGTCCCACCTGGAACTTTCCAAACCTTGAGTACCACACCAGGGTACTGCATTACCGTCACTGGATAGAAAACATGATGGAAACCCCACCTGAGCAAGCTTCATTCATGAAAGGACCCTTCTGGAAACCTGTGGTCATACTCTTTGCTATAAGGGGCACTGAAAGCTGAAGATGAATATGATGATTTACATCACAAGACCAAAAAAACAGAATTTCTACTTCCAGAGAAACATGAAGTTCACAACCCAACAACCAGAAGTGAAGGCCAATAAAGACAGCCTTTAAAAAGGATGTGCTCATGACCCAGAATGAGCACATCATCACTGGGTCATGGTTAGCAAGGACTACCTCACCTTTGACTAGGGCTGACAGATTCACTGTCCCCAACAAGGAGAAACCACCATTTATTGATGAATTACAGAATTATAGCCCAACAAATACATGTGTGCAGTCTACCAAAAGTCCTACATTTTTCTTGTTGCAATTGATCAATGCAATCATACGATACTACTGTAACAGAATGCTTCTATTACTTCCAGCTCTCCAGTATACAGTACTCAGTTCCATTCAAGTGGGAATCCACTGTACTGTACTTGTAACATTAATAAAGGCATTACACTCAATAAGGTTGTCTCTACACACTTTACACTGGGTGGTATAATAAAAGTTTCACTACCTCGTTTGCCTGGCCCTGATGTTCCTCTTGTTCGCGGTGCAGGTGGTGGTCGACGATATGTCAGGTAGTCGGGGGAAAAGTCATCTTCCTCACCCATAGAGAAGTCATCATCGTCATTTTCGCGCTTCTTTAAGGCTTGAATCATTTTCTCATATCTTAAATTAAATCATAATACTGTATACCACTACAAAAAATTATACTAATAATCTTTATATGATTTCAATAATAATTTGTAAAACCTGCTAAAGTATTTGTACAGTAATTCTAATACTATATGAATACTCCTTACAAGAATATTCCATATTTTCAGTATTGCAATGCACCTATATAAAACATTTAAAGTTTCCAGCAAAGTACAGTATCATAGGAGTCCTGTTCACAAGAAGTGTTTACTTTATCTATATACTATACAGTAAAGCATTTCTACCCAGTGGGACAAGTGCTTCCAGAACAACAGCATTCAACTTACCGTAATCCTCTCCGTCTGGGTGGCAGTTTTCGCTTATTGGGGTCAACCTCCTCTTCTTTCTTAAGCTCATAATCTAATGGTTCCTGCTTCAGGGTTCCCATCTCCAACACTCGCAGTTCTTGCAATCCATCATTCCCGTCTACACCTGCCAGCTCAATTGTTGGAGCATTTTCTGACAATTCACTTTCTGTAAAATGTTGAAACAAATATAGTCAATTATGAACATTAATCTATGCTACAGTATTATGATACAATTACATTTAACAAATTTCATGTAAATTAACTACTCACTAAAAATGTACAACACTTTAATTTCACAGAAAAAATTATTTGTCAAGAAGTTTGTACTATTCTTTAATATAATACTGCTCACTACAATTGAAACACAAATTTTGAAACATTGCAAAGTTAGTTCAGTTTTCCTGTAAAGGGATAAGGTACTTTAATTCCAGCTGATACAATTGAAAATTCACTATCTACCTTCCAAAATACATAATTTGATTACTTTTATTTTACCAAATTAACAGCAATAACTCTAAATATGCAAATATGCATCTGTCATCAAAATTGTCACTTTGTCAATGTGGAAAAGAAGAATATAATAAATAACTATTTGTCTGGTAATGTAGGTGTACACGGTAGCTTGGTAGAGGGGTCAATGAGTGCACTATCACAGGATAAGCAATTTGTTGACTCAAGGTATATGGCTGTGGATTCGAGTGATCAAGATGGATCATTATGTTTGTGACGTCACTTATCAGTTTACATAATGTATTTTTGTGTTGAATAACTTGATTTATGTACACATGACTGACAAAGGCAGCAATTATATGTACGTAATTTCTGTATATGGACATACAATATAATACAGTATATTGCATATATTATATTGTATACCCATATGTACATTGTGTACACCCTATATGTAATATAGGTGTATATATAATATATACACCTATATTACACATGTAAACCAGTTCCTGGAATAGCTCATGCCAAACTCCTTTGCTGCTATTCTGTCTAGGAACAATGCCCAGAAACAGATTCAAACAAAGGCGGAAAAGACTAAATTGTGATCTGACAATATTTGTAAGTCATTAGTAAGTGATAGCCTCATCACAATTAAATCTGACTGCAGAATTTTTCTATAGGTCTTGGGTTACTCCATTACATCCATAAAGATGTACAGTATTATAACCATATTCACATTGATTGTATAAAAAACCAGCGATGAATTTAATGAAAAGCCCTTTTCTGGGTGAGCCCCGGAGGCTACCTGAAGCTATCGGGCTAATATGCGATACATTAGACCAGGGCTTTATTCAATGGAATTCTGCCTACCGGGGACCATGAGCCAGAACCTGGCCCCATTGGGTTCTACCATTGTCTGAACTGTCTGAATAATGTATCGCATATTAGCCCAATAGCTCCAGGGAGCCATAGAGGTTCCCCACAGAAAACTGGGGAAAAATTGCTAAAATTAAGAAATGATGATTTACTTCGTTGGCTCAGGGATCCACATATGATATAAAAGACCTTTAAGAATTAATGGAATTATTATTTCTAAAAATTAAAATTTAATGGGTAAAACTGTTTATATTTTAGCACTATAATGTGTATAATTTCACCAACCTTGGTCATCCTGTTCTTCATCCAATCGAGTATCTGGTCCAGTGTGTATCATGCGGGCTCCATGAGGTCCTTCAAGCAACGTCTCGACCTGATGGTGAGGGATTCTTTACTTCGCAAGTTAAGAATTTATAATTTGCTTTAAAATTTACTTTTTTTTCCAGTAAAGAATTCGGCCACAATAATTTTTTAATTACAAGGAGGTTCATATGAATTATGAATTAAAAACATACAAAAGTTTATTCTATCTCCAGTAGCATGATTTACACAATGTAGATAACATTAAATTAATAATTTAATCATTTTAACTTAATAACAATAATTCCTTGTGATCAGGAAGCCAGCATATATATATACATGTTAGGCTTATATGAAGATGTAAGATGTACATTGGGTCCCGGTAGTACAGTTGGGTTCATTCTCGACACACAATCGATAATTCTGGTTTTGAATCCTGGGCGGGACAGAAATGGTTGGGCACATTTCCTTTCACCTAATGCCTCTGTTTATCTAGCAGTGAGTAGGTACTCAGGAGTTGTCAGGTTGTTGTAGGGTTGCATCCTGGACGGGGTCAGTAATTCGGCTTTGGAGGGGACCTCGATAAAAGCCAAACATGTATGCATGCACTCTGGCTTCCTGTCTCCTGACACAGTGAATATTTATATTGAGGTCCCCACCAAGGTCAAACTGCTCACCCCCCACCTCCCCTGAAATATGGAACCCCCACAACAAGCTAACTAGTTCCTGGGTACCTATTTACTGCTAGATGAACAGATGCATTAGGTGATAGGACATGTGCTCAATTATTTCTGCCCCACCCAGGATTCAAACCCGGAATTCCCTATTGTGAGTCGAAAATGATCCTATCTGTACGACTGGGACCCTACATTAAATTAAGTACAGTAAATTGTTTTGTCTTCTATTTTTATAGGCTCAGTATTAATACTTTCACTCGCGGTGCAGGTGCACCGCAGATTTTGATGTCGTGCTCCCGGCGGAGCAGGCGAGCGTGCGGCGACACTGAAATGTGTATACTCGTTTCAGTTTTTTCACCTTAATTCTCGTGCTATGTCGTGCGTTTTTATATCATTGTGTTCGCAATAGAATTCCCTACAGGGGTATATGCATATAAGGTCCAAAAGCCCGTCGTGACTCCCTGCAGCAAGCCTAAAGTTGGCAAAAGTTACCCATGAGCGCACAAAATCAGTAAAATGTGTATACTCGTTTCAGATTTCACACCTTAATTCTCGTGCTACGTCGTTCGTTTTGGTATCAATGTGTTCGCAACTGAATTCCCTACAGGGCTTTATGCATTTAAGGTCCAAAAGCCCGGCGTGACTCCCTGCAGCAAAGCCAAAAGTCAGCCAACTGTTACCTGTGAACGCGCACCAACTTGCACATCGCAACCTAATGTGTATACTCACTTAGTTTGATAACATCAATTTTCGTGTTACGTCTTTCATTTTGGTATAAAATTGCTTTATAAAGGCGCATATTTTAAAACTAGTCCCATAATAATAGAACAATAAATGGAATTTTAACAAATATTTTAAATTTTGGACGCTCATCACCACAAATTTATTTAAATCTTACCAGTGTTCTGACATCAATTTTTGTGTTACGTCTTTCATTTTGGTATCAAATTGTTCACAATCTAAAGGCACGCATTTTAACACTAGTCCCATAACAATAGTACAATAAATGGAATTTTAACAAATATTTTAAAATTTGGACCACAAAAGTATTTCTAATTTTTCAAGTGTTCTGACCTCAGTTGTCAGGCTACATCATCATTATTGTATCAAATTGTGCGCAATCTAAAGGAGCTCATTTTGAAACCACTCCCAGATTGATCGGATAAAATATAAAATTTTAACAAATATTTTAAAATGATGGACACAAGCACGAGTCCACCGCTCGGTATCGGGAGAAAAATTATGGGCTCAAGTACGAGTCCACAGAGTGCAATAAGTGTAAAAATTAATATTTTTAGAATTTTAACAATTACTAAAGTTGACATTGTCTTTATGATATGATACTGAATAAATGAAAATGAGCCTACCATTTTATTGTGGTACAGTATACTGAATAATGCATAGTTATAATGATCAACATTTGCCTACAATTATTACTTTCCTGGAGGGTCAAAAAGTGGCTTCCTGTTGTTACGCACACTAAGATAGCTCCACATTGTTAAGTCGCATCAGCTCTTGCGAGTCATTAAAAGATTACTGGGAGAGGGAGGCCAAAACTTGACCTCCTTCAATGAGATGCAGAGAGCAGGGAATACATGATTACCCTCACCAAGAAATCAAGCCCCAGAAAGAAGCAAAGCAAAACAGAGAGCAGCAAGGTCTAGAGTAAAGAGAACAAACAACACAGCAAATAATCCACCTAGTAATTAGGTCAATGCCCCATCCTCTCCACCAGTTACTGCTGCTCATCATCAGGAGGTAGTACCGCTGGAGCTGCTGGCTTCCATGTCAACAAGCCATCACTCATTCTACTGATGACTGCTCCATAGTCACCAATTTGCCAAGTCTCAGATTTTCCTAGATAAGTGTTGGCCATCCTTTTTCCCATGGGGTCCCATTTGCTTGTGTATCTTTCCAATCTTTAGTACAGTATTGTATCAACGTCGGTGTTCATCAGTGTTCAGTGTTCCGTATTGCATCAACATCGGTGTTCCTCAGGGCAGCATACTTGGCCCTCTCCTCTTTCTCATCTGCATTAATGACCTTCCAAATGCCTCCCAACACCTCAAACCAATTCTATTTGCTGACAACACAACCTTCATTTACTCCAGTCCTGACCCCCTTGCTCTAAATGCCACAGTAAATACTGAGCTAAATAAAGTCCATCTTTAGCTAACGGCCAACAAACTCACCCTTAATATTGACAAAACTTTCTATATTCTGTTTGGCAATAAATCCTCTAATCAAATAAATCTCAAAATAAACAATACCCAAATTTGTAACAAATTAGATGGCAAATTCCTTGGCGTTCTCATTGACCACAAGCTGAATTTCCAGGGACACATTCTAAATACTAGTATATCAAAAAGTTTCAAAAACTGTTGGCATTCTTTCTAAGATCAGATATTATGTCCCCCGCCATGCCCTCGTGACGCTCTATTACTCCCTCATCTATCCATATCTCAACTATGGTATTCGTGCTTGGGGTTCTACTACCCAAAATCATTTACGTCCTCTAATTACTCAACACAAAGCTGCTATTAGGACAATATCCAACTCTGGCCCCAGACATCACTCGGTACCCCTACTCAAATCTCTGAATATGTTAGATATTAAGTCACTGCACATTCTCTCATGTATATTATACATATATATAAAATGCTGAACTGTAATGCCAATCCTGACCTCAAAAGCTTTATTGAAGGTTGTAACAGATCCCATGAGCACCACACCAGAAATAAATTCAGTTTTGATATTCCAAGAGTACGACTTAATCAAACTAGAAATGCTCTACAAATCAAGGGACCCAGAATGTGGAATGACCTTCCCAACCATGTTAAAGACTGTACCTCTCTCAACCAGTTTAAGATAAAAACGAAGCACTACCTAATAAATTCCCTGTAACCTACCTTACCCCCCTATTGTCAACCCATGTCTGTTTTCTTAAACAACGCTGTTTGTCGACCTAATTGTATTTGTGCTGCGTTTTCAGCCATGTTTCCCCCTTTTTTATCTTTATTTTTATTTGTACTCAACACATTTTATTATTTATACTCAATTAGTATTAAGTTTTAGTCATTAATGTTTTTCCTGCCCGAAACGCTTTGCGTAATAGTGGCTTTAGGCATTGTATGTACTAGCTCCATCTATAAATCGATCAAATTATGTAAAATCTCTTGAATGTATGTACCTTACCTGAATAAACATTTTATTTTATTATTTATTTTTATTGTATTAGCTTCACATGTGTGTGTTTACAAGTCTTACTTGCTATGTGAACTGTGGCTACAATTTACCTCAAGCTGCATGTGATTAGGGCTACCCTTCCTTAAGCAATCACAGGAGATGCCCCTGCACTGATAGGGGCATCTATTTGCACTGCACTGATAGGGTTACTTCTGGATTTACCTGAATTTACTTGTGGGCCACTATGTCTCTAGTGGCCTCAACGAGAACTTAAAGTTGATGATGTGTCAAAGGTTCCCTCATATCTCCTGATGCTTTTCATCAAGCTGGATTTTGAAATTCAGCAGTGTTTTGGTATTTATGGCTTTGGCGGGTATGCAGTTCCATGGGTTTATAATGTTATGGGTGAAAAAGCATCTCCTGTTTTCTGTCCTACTTTGTGACTTGTTGAGCTTCAAACCATTGGTCCTTGTTTGTGTTACATCTGACCTTTTAAAGAAGCTGTCTGGATCAATATCCTCCAAATTGTTAAGCATTTTAAAAGTTTTGATGAGATCAGCTTTGTCATGTCTGGTTTATGTCTGGTCATGCTGTTAGCCCTGTGGCCCTCAACCATTCCTGGTATGAGACTCAACTTAGTTCTGGAATGATTTCTCATGCACAGTGTTGAATTTTCTTCAAAGTAGATACGTCTTTCTGAAGGTGAGGTTTCCTTGCTTGGATACAATAATCCAAGTGGGGTAATTATCTAAGTGTAGTTACAGGATGAGAGCTATGCTTGTGGTGTCTTCAAAAAGTGTTGCAACACCCTTTGTTGCAACACTTTGCTTTGCTTTGAAACTACTGATGGTTTTGGCCTCCACTTCCTTCTCATTTAACTTGTTCCAATCATCTGCCACTCTCTTTGCAAAAGTGATTTTTTTATATTTTTGGGGGGCAGCATTGTTTAGTTAACTTAACTCTATGACCTCTTATTCTTGAAGTTCCAGGTTTGAGGAATTCTTCTTTATTTATTTTGTTTATTTCCCATTATTATTTTGTACATACTGTACTGATCATATCACATCTTTATCTTCTATCTTCTAGCTTGTGTATGTTTAATGCCGCTCCTCATGGCTTTTGTCTTTCAGTTCCAGAGGTAATTTAGTTGCATGTCTTTGCAATTTCCAGTTTGTTGATGTACTTCTTAAACTATGGGCACCATACAACCGCTGCATATTCCAACTTTGGTCTCACAAAGATCATGAACAATTTCTTTAATATTTCACCATCCATGAACAACAATTGTGAAATTGGAAAGCATAGCATATGCTCCTCACACAATGTTCTTTATGTGGTCTTCAGGTAACAGTTTTTTATCTAGAACCACCCATAGATTCCTTTCTTTATCAGAGTTTTTTAAAAGCTTTTTCACATAATTTGGAGGTTGTGTGTGTGGCCTATTTTCTCCTACTGTATTCCAGATAAATGCAGTCAATCAAACCATCTCTTTCCTGTAAAATCTCTACAGCTCTATCATAGAAAATAAGTAGATTTACTACAAAGGATCTTCCAGATCAAAAACCATATTGTCTGTCTGTTATTATGTCATTTCTCCCCAGGTGTTCTACTCGTTTGGTTTTAATACTTTTCCAATATTTAGACTACTACACTTGTCAACCACACAGGTCTATAATTAAGAGGGGTCTTCCCTGCTACCACTTTTGTAGATTGGAACTATGTTAGCCTTTTTTCATATATCTGCCAAGACTTCTGTACACAGAGACTGAAAAAATCAATTGAAGTAAAATGCTGAGCTCAGGTGTGCATTTTCTCTTTTGTTCTGCTCATAATTAAGGGTTTGTTAATATTGGAGCCATCAGCTTCAGTGGTGCTGCCACCTGGTTGTGAGCAGTCATAACCAGCAGCAGGAGTAAGGGGTGACCTAACTACTGGGTGGATTGTTTACTAGGTTGTTTGCTTTGTTGTTTTGTTTTTATAACAGTACTCTCTTTTGACCTTGCTGTTGTCTACTTTGGTTTGCTTCTCTCTAGGGCTTGATTTCTTGGTGCTGGTGATCGTGTATTCTCTGCTCTCTCTGCCTCTTTGAGGGGGGCCAAGTTTTGGTCTTTGATCCCTGGTAGGCTTTTAATGATTTGCAAGTGACTGATATATCTTGATGTGAAGCTATCTCATTATGGCTAGCAACAAGGAACCACCAAGAAAGAAGTACAGGTATTTCATTACATTCAATGTTGTTTTCATAAACGAAAAATATTCTAAATTTTGTAAGCTACTGTAGGTCAATTATAAATTTACAACTGTCTATGAATAAAGTTACAGATTGACTGATTTATTTATTTCACCAATTACACACTAAAATAAATTTACAAAGTGAGAAGTAAACTTAATACTGTACCTTTTTTGGTCTTCCAGGTCTCCGGCCTGTGGAGGATATGACATATGTTCCTCTGGGACGTCCACGACCTCTTTTTTTACGACGCCCACGACGAGGAATAATTGGTAAGGTGCAATTTAATTCTGGTAGTACAAATTCCTCAACCTCTGGTGGGCCTTTCACCAAAACAGCTGATGCTGGTGATCCACCAGGTAAAGTCATATCTACCAAAATGCCTTCACTTCCTGAATCCTCCAACTTAATGCTGCAGCCATCCAGGTGATGATCTGCAGAGGTCTCGGCAAGCAATATTGAATCACCTGCGACTTCCTTCTTCAGCAGTGACATAGTTTTAGCAAATTGTTCATTATCGTCTCTTACATCTATTCTAGATAAAGGTAGTGTTCTGCCACGTCCTCCCCCTCTGCCTCTTCTTCCATAGCGTTGATGGGGTCGTACTGGCACTGGAATCTTTCTGGTTCGAGGACTTTTTGACCCATAAAAATCAGAGTCACCAGATCCTTTGACACTTACAATTAAAGACTTGCTTTCTTTCAGCTTCTTCAAGTCTTCGGGACGTGGCAGGACAGTGACCATTCGGTTTCCAATCCTCTGAAGAACACCTTGTGCAGATATAGCCAGTGGACCAGTCCCAATGAACTTTCGAGGTTGTTGATTATAATTCTGCTTTCCTGACATGTAACTACTTGTTTTTAGGACGACAGGCTTTGAACTTGAATTATGAGACTTGGATGTTGCAATTGGAACATGAATGTGTTGAGTGGTTGGTATTCCATTATGATCCCTGTGAATAGTAGACTGAGAAGTCATGACACTAAATGTGCCACTAGCCGTAGTAGGTATAGTTGAAGATTGAAGTACTGAAAGAACTTGACTGTGCGTAACATCTGCACCACTAACGGAAGTCATATTATTTGAGTCAACTGTAGATGTTAATGTAATTGAATCTCCACTAGTTTCTCCTACTAGTGGTAACTGAAGATGGCTAAGCCCCTGTAATATGGACACCCCAGCACTGTCATTCAGAAATGAGAGTGGCAGTGTTATGGTGTGTGCTGACCCAGACTGATCACTTGCAGGTATCTGAATCAGTTGCTCACCTAAGATAGCTGAAGCGGACCCATCACCAGTATCCTCTGCAGCCGTAAGATATGTAATGGCTTGTGTCCCCTCGCTACTGGTCATGGTGACAGTTGAATGGCCATGTTCATGGTCTAACAGGGCTAGCTGTTCCCCAGTATCATCTGCAGTCACTACAGTGATTGGTCCTTCTCCTGAGAAATCTTGTTGAAGCACCATATCTGTTTCCTCTTGATCTAACGACAGCTCACCATGCACTCCAGGAAGGTCAACAAAGTTGACCAAACTTCCATCTGGTGTTCTGATCAAGGGCAGTGCAGACTGAGGATACACAACAGTGACTGCATTTCCAGACTCATCTGTTGTTACATAATGCACTTCATTTTGTAGGGCAGTATGACTTATAGTGTGTCTGCCATTATGTGTCATCATGGTGGTAATCTTGAGGGGGTCATTATCGCTGTCCATTTCGTCCTCATCATCATTATCGCCAGCCTCCACCAGATGATGAGTTGTAACTCCATGAACACCTTTAAATAATAATCAACATTTTATTAGAGTAAAATAGAAAACACAGATGTTCACACAAAATAAAATGTGCACTAAATTTATTTAGGCCTACCTTTCCTAGGACACTACTACATCTGTCCAGGAGACCCCCTCAGTAGCTCCCAGAGCTAGGTACTGGTCCAGACATGAAGCATCAGGCCTATGAGACCCACCCTCTTGCCTAGCATAAACTAGGACCAGAATCTGGGTCTCTATAACATAAAGGGACCTTGAGAAGCAGAGATCAACCAAACTGAGAAACAAAAACATAAAGCATAAACTCAACAAAAATCAGCGTTGAATGTAATGAAACAAAATTTTCTGGGTGAGACCCGAAGACTTCCCAGAGCTATCCAGGCTGATATGGATATATTAGATATCTAGCATTAGTCAATGTGTATGAGTTCTAGGCCTACCGGGGACTACGAGCCAAAATCTGGCCCCTTCAGAGAGGCCTGAGGAGGAGCAATGACCTATAGAAACCCCCATGTGGTTAGAAGCATTCTGTGTCTGCCATCGATCGGGTCAGGCACCAAGAAAAGTAAGCGCCCCAAAACAAACCCCTATTCTGGTAAAAAAACATTCCTAAAAAGAGCCGAACGAGTAGACAGAACTCCCCAAATGAAAACAAGCAAACTAGCATGACATCCCCACATTGCTGAGCCACTGTCTGTGCAACCTCCCCCACCCGGGAGGGAAAGGGGAAGTCCAGACCTTCACGCCAGCTACCCACCCTTCAATTCAATTCTTAAGGCTGGATGTTAAAAATGCGAAAAACCACCGACCGGAGGGAGGGAGGGTTGCCAGGGAGCCTCCAGGTCTCACCCAGAAAATGGCATTTCATTACATTCAACATTGGTTTTTTGAAGGGAGCCCCATCGGTTCCCTGGAGCTAACTACCCAAAGACAAAAACAAAAATGGGGACTTATCCGGGAGGCAGTCGGCCCTCGCTCCTCAACTCGAAGTCGAAACAACTGGCTGCAACCTACGACCCAATGCAACACAGGCCCTACGAGGCCCAGGAACATTGACAAGATAGAGAGCAGCCAAAACCCTGTTCGACCTCCAAAAATCCCATACCAGAATGTCAACCCAAAACATATTACCGAAGACGGCAGCCAAGCAGCAAACTTACAAATGTCGTGGGGCACGAGGATAGTCCGCTGGCTGGCTAGACCCGATAACTCTGCGGACGACCTAGGAGACCCGCTCCCTGGAACAGGGAAGAAGGGAAACTGGGTCAACCCAAAGCACGTCCCCGGCCACTGAAGCCGTGGCGTGCAGATAAAGGCAAAGACCTGCAATCGGACACAACACACGATGCACCCCTGACCTGACCAACCAAGCATCAACAACCCAAGGACCTCTCCGGAAACCAACAGACTTTGCCAGAAAAGAAGGAGACGGCTGCAAACGAACCAACCTACCACCAGGACCAAAAGAACAGAAACCTTTGTGCCAGAGGAGAGCATGAAGCTCCCCGACCTGACCCTCAGAGGACAATGCCAACAGGAAAAGAGCTTTAGAAAAACTATCCTGAGCCGAAGGGGCCACTACAAACCGAGGAGAAGAGAGAAGAGAGAGCACCCGGTCCAACGACCAGGACAGCTCAGGCGGCACATTAGCAGGCCAGAAGGGGAAACAATGCCCAAGAAATCTTGCGGAACCCGAGGAAGACCTTCCCTCGGGTCTGTGAACACATCGAGCGAGGGCTTAGGTAGGCGCCACGACACTGAATTCCAAAAAAAACGAAGAGGGAGCCGGCGACGCAGCTGCTGATGCAAGAACCCCAGGGTCCAAACCCAGCGATCGCAAGAGTGGCGGAAGGGACGTCCCTCGAAGGAACCAGAACAGATGCCAAAGCCAGATCCAACCCGACAGGTAGATCAGTACGGCAAAGTTCAGACTCCCGCACAGCTGCTCGAACAACTGACGAGTGACCCAGGTGCCCTCCAAACATAGCAGAAGGCTTGACTGAAGCTGCAGCAACACTGTTGGAGGGAGAGACAAGGAAGCGGTCCGAGAGTCCCAAACAAGACCCAGCCAACCTGAGAGGGAACCTAAAGGGACTTCCTCCAGTTCACCAAGAACCCAAACCTGGCGAGCTGGGAAAGAACCCAGAACGGCTGGAAACCCAGACCAGCCAGTCGTTGAGGTAAGCCAGAACCCAAACCCCTAACAGACGCAAACAGGTCACCACGACCTGAGTAAGGCATGTTAAAATGTGAGGCGCCAGATTCAAGCCAAATGTAAGGCAATGACAGTGGTAAGCTTTCCGCCCCACGAGAAAACCGCGCCAGGTCCTGAACCCTGGATGAATTGGGACGTACCAATACACGTACCGGAGGTCCAGGGACACCATCCAAGTGCCCCCGGCTCCAAAAGCAGCCAGACCTGGGACAGTCGTCATCCGAAAGGAGGGGCAAATGACCCAGGGGTTCAGATGGACAAGTCCAGAATGAACCTCAGATCTGCACAGTCCCATTTCAGAACTGGAAACAGGCGGGAAACCCACCTGAGGGATGCCGTCGTTTTGACCATGCCCAAGCGTACCCACTCCAGGATAACCCGACAGAGCTCAGGGAAAGAGGCCTGCCCTGCCAGCCCCAAACCCCCCCAAAGGAGGAGGAGCCACCCAACGCCACAGCAGGCTGGAGGAAACGACCCGAAACGCCCATGAATTGTAGGACCAAGCAAGAGCAAAGAGCGCAAGCCTTTCCCCCATTGCCCCGTTGATGAGGAAACCGCAAAAAGGCAGACAACCCTTGCGAGAGCTCGCCCAACTCTCAGAGTGAGCATGGCTCCTCAGCAGGGGCCCAGCACCGAAACTCGCACTACTGGCTTATGATGACTGAAGGAACCCCAAGTCCTGGCACGACCCTTCCAGGCAGGAATTGCCCCCCCCCCCAAGATAACCAACAGGTGAGGCAACTAGACAAAGCTGCCTGCAAAAATATGCACCACCAGAGACTCTGCTAATAGCAACGAACAAAAAGGGACACAAATCTAAGAGCCAGAGCCCGAGAAGAGTCCAAAGAGTTGACGAGCACCGCCTGTCACCACACGGGGCGAGAAGCAAAGAACAGAGACACTGCTTCCTTCAGAATCAACGCAAACAACTTCAACAAGGCAGCAGATGCCCGAGCCACCAAAGCAAGCACACCAGATGCTAGCCCAGAATCCAGCTCCACATCCTCCTCGAGCCAGTCCGAAAACAGTTCCAGTAGGAAAATGCGCAAGACCGAAGCCAAATGCCCACGGGTGCACAAATTCTCAGCGACCAGGGACACCAAAAGGGAGGGAACCTGCACGTGAAGCTGCACCTGGCCGGTATTGCTAGAAAGCACAAGGGCGAATAAGCATGCATTGAGATGCTCCAACTCGCCCCCAGGTAAACCTGAACGAACGTAGTCAACTCCCGCCAATCAAGCATGCTGGTCCGACAGAATGCATGCCATGCCCCCAATGAAAAGAAAGGGCAGTCTGCCAGCCAGGAAGACTCTGGCACCTTGTAATGCACCCAGGAAGGAAAAGAGGAGTCAAACTCAAAAGAAGAAGGCTCCATTATCAAGGTGTAATCTGTGCCTCGCAGGAGGTAATCCACAATGACCTCCCGCACCTCCCTAGGTGGGATTCGGGAAGCCAAAAAACCTCCAGAAAGAGGCACCGAGAAACCTAAGGGAACCCGGAACCGAACCTGGGGAGGAGCAGAACTCATATCAAATTCGTACAGGGAGGGGGGATACAAAAAACCCTTACACCGTAACAACAAGCCCTGCGACGTGGGTACCACCACTCAATCGGGGTCAAATGAGGACCAAGCCCCCCCCCTCCCCAAGTCAACTCCTCCCCAGCCCTGGGATCCTCCAGATCAGGACTTGGGGCAGAGCCGTCCTCCAAACCATCAGCCTCTAGAGAAAAGGCAGAGTCCACCAGAAATGCAGGGAAGAAGGGTGTCCACTGACACAACCTGAAAGCCCCAGCAGGAGGAACAGGCTCGAATGCCTCCACCGCCGATCTGGAAGGGGCAATCCCCGAAGCTGCCCATATCTCACCACCAAGAAAGCCTGCCCAGACTCCGAAACCCTCAAACGTTTGGGAGCAGGGAACAGGAGGGGTGAAAAGGGGAGAGGAGGATGAACCACAGCAGGGAAAGGACAAGGGGGTGTGAACGAAACCAAAGGGCATCCAGAAAGGCAACCAACCTAAAGCGTTACAGAATGTAAACCTCGCATGCAATGCCAAAGCTGCCTGCACACGAATATCAATAGCAATGGACTGAGTGAACTGGAGTACAAGCAAGGAACACCACTCGTAGGACTCCGGGGTCAAAGGTGTCATTGACAGGCAGGGCAGCAGGAAACATGGAGGAGGCAAAAGCGGTGAATGTCACCCAGAGACGAGGGGACAGAGCAACCTTCAAACTTGCACGAAGCGAGATGGTACTCAGAGGATGTATCAATTGGCCCAATGAGCCCAATGGGGGTTTCCAGGGCCCTTAGGCTGACTGCTAAGGGAAGCCTAGGCAAGGTACTGCTAACCGGTTATCCCAGAACTACCAAACAAACAAAAGCTGAACCCGTGCGATGTGTGCACTCACCCGGACCTAGTGGAGGGCCACCAAAATAATACAAGTGGTTCTACAGCCCCACCAGGCAAAAGAAAAGAAAAGAAAATAAACACCCCGCAAAAGCACGTCTCCAGGAGGAAAAGAACCGATCGCTATGTGTATTATAAAACAGCTGCACAGTACCTCGCACCTCAGCTAGCGACGATACTACCTTCTACCCAAGGCTAAACAGTGGTAGAAAAAAAAAAAAACAGCTGGCCCCAAGGGCGGGCAATCACTGAGCAGCAAAAGAACCTTGCGGAGGTAGTCCCCGAACAGTTAGTGGAAGGTAACCCCAAACTGCAAGGGTACTACTTACAGGGCACCTAGGGAAGGTGACCCTAGGCGCATGCAGCCCCAGTACTTTGTGAATTACACCTGGCTCGCACACCACCACACAGCTCCAGAACCTCGTAGAAGAACCACAGCTCCAGAACCTTTGAGCAGTGCTGCTCAAAGGAGGGAGATAGAGTCGATCGACTGCCACTCAACACAACACCCACAGAACTGGGATTGGGTAGCCGGTGCTGGAGGTCTTGGGCTCCTCTTTCCCTATTGATGAGGGGTAAGAGCTTTCATTCGACTTTCGGTTTGGAATTTTTAACCAGCTGTAGTTTGTTTTGGGATTCCTACCTTTCTGGGTGCCTGACCTGGTTGATGGCAGACAGACTGCTTCCAATTACATGGGGGTGTTTATAGGCCATTGCTCCTTGTGCCTCTGAGGGGGGCCAGGTTCTGGCTCATGGTCCCCGGTAGGCTAGAACTCCATTGATTGACTGTTGCCACGGTCTAATATATACACATCAGCCCGGTATAACTTAGGGAAGCCAAAGGGGCTCTACACAGAAAATATGGTATTTAGAAATTCTACTCAAGTGCTATCCATATACACGTCTAATAAAAGTCCATATATTTTTTCTCCAAGATTTTAACCAAGTTTTAAAAACCTTATATTTTGTCTGGCTTTTGACAGCCCTTATGAAGCAGTGACACACAGTCCTCTAATTTCAATTGAAATAACTTTGGCTGGGAAAAATACTGTATCAAGTTCTGAGGAACTTGATAACGTTGAGAACAGAACATGAAAAAACCAGTGCTGAATGTAATGAAACACTAATTTCTGGATGAGCACCGGTGGCTCCCTGAAACAATATGTTGAGATAGTACCATCCACTAAGTCACATCAGCTGTGGCATTCAATAGGCCTTCTGGGGACCAGAGCCTGGGCCCTCTCACAGAGATACTGAGATACTGGGAACTGTGATATTTGTATTCACCACTTCATTGGGGAATGCAACCAGAAAATCAGAAAGTCAAAACAAACTACAATACTGCTGGATTCAAGAGAGACCGAAGCCTCAAAGCCTGCCTAAAGAACTCCCCCCAAACTATGTAAACAAATGGTGCCCCACCTCCCCCCCTTGGTTGGGAAAAAGGGGGAGGTAGCTTACCACCTGCTGGGGTCTGAGCTCCAAGTTCTAGAGCAGATGTAGACATCGGGCACCTGACAGCTGGGTGGACAGCACTTCGGATTCGTAGTCCTAAGGTTCCGAGTTCGATCCCCCGGTGGAGGCGGGGACAAATGGGTAAAATGTTTCTTTCACCCTGATGCCCCTGTTACCTAGCAGTAAATAGGTACCTGGGAGTTAGACAGCTGCTATGGGCTGCTTTCTGGGGGGGTGTAACAAAAAGGAGGCCTGGTCAATGACCGGGCCGCAGGGACGCTAAGCCCCGAAATCATCTCAAGATAACCTCAAGAGCGTAGACATCCACCCAATGACCTGGAAGGGAGGGAGAGGATCAGGGAGTCACTGGGGATCACCCAGAAATTGACATTTCTTTGCATTCAATACTGGTTTTCTGGTAGGAGCCTCTTATGGCACCCCTGAAGCTAACTCTCACAGAGAAGGAAAAACACCAGGGAGGAGAAAGTACTGCAGGAATCATGACAGTGATGTGTTCCCTGGCCGAGAGAAACAACCCAAAGCCACACAAAGGTGCTGAGTCCTCTGAACATTCACTAAATACCAGGCCACCAAACCCTGTTTGACCTCCAAAACTGCACACACCCTAATATCATCCCAGGACATGTCTGCAAACACAGCCAGAAGAGCAGTATACTGCCTAATGTCATGGGCATAAGGGTACTCTGTAAGCTGGGGAGACTTAATAACTGCGGACGACCTGGGAAATATGAGGCTTGGAACAGGAGGCTGTAACGGTTCTATTGTTACGTAAAGTATGGTGACAATAAACACAAACACTAAGAGAATATATATATTTGGTCGAGTATACAGAAATATGCAGGTGATACTTTGGCGAGCAATGGTGTGAGTTGAGCACACTAAGAGTCGTTACAGTATCTCGCAAGTGTCTGTTCTAGACCACACTTCAAAGTAGACTCGGTATTATTCGCTACTCTGCTGCCTAAAAGCTCGGGCAACACCTCACCGTTCTCCAAAGGTTGACAGCAATATTAACTGGAAGTAGGGAAAGGTTTGAGTTCCATAATTAGTACTAAGAAGAGCTTTGCTTCTCTCATTAGGCTAATGCGTTTGGAGCGAGTATATTATTGGGATAATCTACTCGCTACAAGGCCAAGGAAACAGGATGGGCCCACAAGGCATCCACCAAAACAGAATTGGTGGCACAAAGGTAGCAGCAGAGAGCTGCCACTGGACACAGCAAATGATGCACCACTGGCCAAACCAACCAACCATCGATGACCAAAAAGCCCCTCCAAAAGCCAACCAACTCGTTCTTTGCCAGAAAAGAAGGAGCCAGCTGCAGATGAACAAAATGCCCATTAAGGACAAAAGAACAAAATACCCACCGAAGGAAAGCATAAAGCTCCCCAACTTAATACTCAGAGGCAAGAAAAACCAAAAACAATGCCTTTGAGATAGAATCACAAATCGAACAGAACACTGTGAAACAAGAAGAGAAGCAAGACCACAGTCCAGAGACCATGCAGGTACAGTGGATCCTCAGTTTTCGAATGCCCATTTTTTAATTTTTCAGTGTTTGAGCTCAATTTCTTAAAAAAATTTGACTCGGTACTCCGTAGTTTGCCTCTGTGCTCAAGTTTGTTGATTCATGTATGGGCCGACCGAGCACATGGCGCACTTCAGTTAACCAGTGTCTCCCGCCTAGTGATGGTCGCGCTTGAATTCTTTGTGAAGAATTTCATTGTTTTTGTCCTTTTTTTGGGTCTAAACATAAAAGTTCTTATTATATATCATGCCATGGGTTCTAAGAAAGTCAGTGGTAAAGTTCAACCTAAGAAAATAGTTGTGAGGATGACGATAGATGAAAAACAAAGAGATCATTCATAGTGAGTCAATGTGATGTGTCACTATAGACAAGTGCTAAGACGTAGGGAAAAACAAGTGTCCATAGACAGATTCTTAGTAAGACAAGCAAGCAGTGAGCCACAACCAGATCCTAGTTGCATGCCTGCAAAATGTAAGAGAGTGAGTACCCCAGAAATGTCATCACTGCCTGATGTTATAATGGAAAGGGGACTCCCCTTCCAAACTCTTCCCTCTTCTCCTCCCTCCCACTCCTCACCATTTTCCATATGCCAACATGATTCCTCCATAAAGGTACGGTACCTATGAGTAGTTTTCTGTATAAAATGTATTTTTCAGTTAATATTTTTGGGGGTGTGAAACGGATTAATTTAATTTACATTATTTCTTATGGGAAATTTTTTTTCCGTTTTCGTATTTTCGGTTTTCAAACTGTCTCTGGGAACGGATTAAATTCCAAAACGGAGGTACCACTGTATAGGCATCGCATGAGGAGGCCAGAGGTGAAATAAGGCATGAGACAGCAGATCCAAGGTAGTATCGATACAGAATGCAAGTTACAGTGGTTCTGCCAGCACTGCATGATACGAGACAACAGCATTCGGCATGAGATGCCAATCAAGAAAAAGTGAAGAAAGAAAGGAGAGCACCACACGCTTAGAACTGAAGAGTGAAGGGAAAGGAAATGGGAAAGGAAGTGCTACAATTCCTCATACAGTCCATGTGAACAGGAAAACAGGTGGGACTCCAATAAAGAAGCCACTTGCTTGCTTTAAAGATGGTGATAAAGACGCTTCAATAAGACCTAATATGAAAAGCTGAGGATAAGGCCAAACCAGTGAAGTACATCACAGTGCCAACCTTCTGATGGATACGGATAAGCAGAAATATGCCCGGGTTTGGACATCCTAGCAAGCAGAACCTGGGCCAAACAATCTCGCACTAATTTCAAGAGAATTCAATCATTTGTTTACATAACTGGGGGAGTTCTGTAGGGAGGTTTTGATGCTTTGGTCTCTTTTGAATCTAGCAATAGTTTGTTTTGACTCAGACATGCTGGATGCCTTCCTCCAGTGAGGTGGCAAATACAAATGTCCCTGCACTCTGAGCATTTGTGAGGTGGGGCCAGATTCTGGTGCTGGTACTTGGTAGGCCTATACAACTCCATGGCTGATGAGACCCAGTAGTTGGTACAATCTTAGTGTATGGTGCCACAAGGGACTTTTCCCAGAAAATTGAATAAGATTATTTGATAATGAACTGAGATGCAAATAGGTGATACAGATTTTAAAAGAAAGGCAATGATTAATTATGCTGTTTCTTGTGGCTTTTTTTTAAACAACATGTAAATGCATAAATAAATTATAAATATAACATTTTAATTAATACTGTACTGCTAATACTACTATAGTAAAGTAGATTGAACTAGAGATTTAAAGTGGAAATGAATTTATCTTTTAATGAGAAAAATAGGGTGTTGCAGGTCATTAATAGAACCCAATGATGTGTATTGCATTATTTTTATTTTAAATAATTGTAAAATGAGCTTATTTGATTAAAAATTAAAAAAATTCATGCTTCACATTCTGGGCCATTGTAGTAGTAATAAATTAAGTTACATTTACCATTTATTTCCATAATTATACCTCCTTTTGAGTCCTTTTTGGCATTTCATGGGATCACCTTTGTTCACACAACAGAACATACAGGGTATTTGTATTTGGGGACCTGAGTATAAAGTGAACAGTGGCTCTTATTCTGGGAAAAATAAGGTAAGGCCTCAGACTGTTATTATTATTACTACTTTATTATTATTATTATTATTTTACATGTGGGACAAGAGTGTAATCAGAGTCTCTTGCCTTACAAAGGAAGCACATCTCCAAATCTGTGCCACAAGCATGATGGAAACATTTACCATTCTCTACCAAAAAAATGGAATAGTTAAAACAAAGAATGCTTAGCATTTCTATTACTATGAATTGATAGGAAACATTGTCCAGCTTAATTAATACAGTAGAATTCAGATGCTCGGGTCCTTCATTTATCAATAAGGCATTATGACCCCTGAAGCTATTGTCATCCACAAACTGTAACTTTAAAGCTAACTAAACCTATTTTTAAAAGAAATGCATAGATAGGAAATAGGAAAGGTTGGAAAATGGAGGATTAGTTAAGATATAGGCACTTTCATACAGAAGACACTTTTGACTTCCTCTGCCCTTCTACACATTCACTCCATGTACCTTCCTCTGCTCGCACCTCCCTTACTTTCTCATGTCTGCTTGGTGCCTGCTTCCTACATATCCTTCGCTTCCCACCCTCCGTCCCTCGCTTTCTTTACTGAGGTGACGCTTTGTGTTCGCCTTCCGTACTCCTCATTATTCAAGTCCTGTGTCCCTTCCCTCTCATCTGTTTCTTTTGCCTTTATCCTCATCCACATGGACGATGTTGTTATCTTCCCGCCTCTGTCACATTGTGACCGTTGATGTGCCACTGTACATTGTAGCTGATACATCTTTCTACATTACCACTCGTGCAGTAATTGGGAGGATACACCTTCATGCAAACGCCACATATTGCAAAGACGACGACACTCTGCATACAAGTATTGTGACCTAACCAAACCTAACCCATGATACACTTTGTGAATGTGAAACCATGTAATATAGCATAGAAGCTTTATGAGTAAATGTTAACCCATTTACATCATAACCCTTCCAGTAAATTTCACATTTCTGGACACATTTGATAAGTTCAGTTAGGCAGGTCCAGTTAAGGCTAGGATAAATTTGGTTAGATTTAATAACTATTAATTCATTTGGCTAGGACAGGAAGCCTGTGTATATGTATATATATACTTTAGGCTTTTATCAAGGATTCCACAAGGACGAAATACTGACCTTTCCCAGGATGCAACCCTGCAACAGTTGCTTAACTCCCCAGGCACCTATTTATTGCTAGGTGAACAGAGGCATTAGGTGTAAGGAAACTTGCCCAACCTTTTCTGTCCAGCCAGGAAATCAAACCTGGCAGACTTGACTGGGAGTTGAGAACAAAACCCATCATTTAAAACTGGATTTGGTTTATTTTGCAAACATTCATAAAAAAAATACAGCAGTCTTTGTGCCAAGTGGCACAGTTTTATTTACAGTAAGTGGCATAAGTAAGTGGCTGTTTTACACATTTTAGTATGTAAAATGGTACATTTTCCTACGGTCACTATAGGATAAGTGTTTTGAGTAAATCTTGGATCTACCAAGTTGTTGAGGTGTACAGTGGTAGTTAGCAGTGACACAAGTCACATAGTAGCAAATCTATTCCACTACCATAAGTATCTAGAATAAAAAATTAATTTTAGTGATTGATGTGACCTAACCTAGCTTGTATGACCAGTCCGGAGTTGGAATTATCATAATTATAACCTAGCTTGTGGCAGGCAAAGATTAAAAGGAAATTAATTCCAGAAATTAATCAAAGGGTGGATTAAAAATGACTATCTGTTAGCCGTTTTATTCCCCTCTCATAATGGTTCTAATCATTTGTAATACTTATGCTAGGCTTTATCCCAAGCTTTCCAGCATTTGTGACAACTGTTGTAAATTATACAGATTCAGAGTAAGCAAAAAGTGAAGTAATAGAGTAATCTTTCAGGAATTCCTCCATCCTGCAAGAATTCACAAAATCAGGGAGGGATGAGAGTTAAATCCAATATCATTGTCGTGAGATAAGAGTGAGAGTGTATAGGAGAGTGAGAAGACATAGCTGGTGAGGGCCTCCACCCGTGTTGTGCACTTTTCACAACATGTTTATACTTCATCACTAACTAAAAGAAGTTCCAAAATTCGATGAGTAAACTGGATTGAGAAGCATGATTGGAACACTCACGATTCCCAATTATTTTGCAACATACGGCCCCCGTAGGTTGACCAACACCTGCTATAATATTACCTTCATTTATATGCTGCGTAGAATCCCCGGTTTCCACTTCAGAACTGGCCATTTTTGGTTTTATTCACTAAGGCAAAAGGCCTTTCTTCACAAAGGGATATCCGCCATGTTTGAAAGCCTAGAAATCCCGGGCCAATCAGCGGCGGCGGCGGCAGTGACGTCACAGGGGAGGCGGCGCCATATTACGACTAGTGTTAGTAACTCATTATTTTCTGGTTTTTATTTACAATACTTACAATAAAATTAGAATGTGACATATAACAATGTAGGTATGGAATTTATGTTCTTTGAAAGTCACTGATCCGCATACTGTTTCCCTTTAAACCTAATCATTTAGCCTCCTGACGTCTATAATTTTCAATATAATTTTGTTTATTAACATGCTGCTTCATCTTTATTTTTACTACTTCATTATCTGCGAGTTTTCAAGCGTGTGTAAACTGCTCTTATAACGGGAACAACATAAATATTTTTTGTATTCAAATATGTAGGCCGAAAAAATTTATATAAATTTAATCAAGAATTCTATTATTTCAATGTACTGAACGAGATAAAGAAAGGCGTAACTAATGAATTTGTCACATTTAAATAAACGTCAACATGCGTACGTGCAGTAAATAATTAAGTTACCCATGTAATTGATATTTACACCGCCAACTAATCTAAATTAATTTATTTTTTATTGACAGGTCGTTGTCTCGTTGTCTCAGAGTTTACTCACCGATAACCCTTTATATATCGGCCACATACTGTATACATTTTATTGGGTTTCCCTCTGCATGTAATGCAGTAGGAGTGAAACAGGCCTTTGTCTTCAGTTTCCTCTTTGTTGTAGGCATCGCATACGACGTCTGTGTTGACTTTTTTGTTATTAACAAGCTTAGGTATACACAGCAATGTGTTGTTATGCTGTTCTAAATTATTTAATTATTATATATACAAGAAGGTGCATTGGATTTATGAGAGTACATAGCATTGATGTTTTTACATTCTTGTAAAGCCACTACCACACATAGCGTTTCGGGCTTTGTGAAAGACTGCACTGTAGATTAAAAACAAGCTATAAGTTCATCTACTGGGCTGGACGGTAGAGCGACGGTCTCACGTCATGCAGTTCGGCGTTCAATCCCCGACCGTCCAAGTGGTTGGGCACCATTCCTCCCCCCCCCGGTCCCATCCCAAATCCTTATCCTAATTGATTGATTGATGAAGATTAAGCCACCCAAGAGGTGGCACGGGCATGAATAGCCCGTAAGTGGTGGCCCTTTTGAGCCATTACCAGTATCAAGAGCTGATACTGGAGATCTGTGGAGGCGCGACTGCACCCTTCGTGACGGGAGATGTCTCCCGGACCAAATGGTGACCAGATGGTCCTTATCCTGACCCCTTCCCAGTGCTATATAATCGTAATGGCTTAGCGCTTTCCCCTGATAGTTCAATTCAATTCATCTAATATCCCCATCTCATAGGATGGTTAGTCATACATGGAATCAGGAGAGAACATTAAATGCCAGGCTGATCTATTAGCCTCCACTGGTAAAATCTGGGTACAGCTCAAGAATATCTTCCAATATTCGTGAGTGTATGAAGTATTTACAGAGCTCAAAGTACCTCATACCATTTGGTCTGAAATCACTGATAACAAGCCAATCACAAATATTGTGTTGGAGAGTATGTCCCAGCTCTTGTTCACAGAGTTTACAATTGGAATGTTCACCGTTGAGGCATTCATTACCTGCAGTCACCTGCCATATATATCGATATCCCAGCCAAATTTTGGCAATTACAATGTCACACTGTCTAGTGGAAGTTTTATGCTACCCGGACATATAATTCTCGGCTCTAAATATGTCATAGCTCTTTATACTCGTGCCTTGATTGACTGATAAAGATTAAGTCACCCTAAAAGTGGCACGGGCATGGAATAACCCGTAAGTGAAGGCTCTTTCGAGCCATTATCAATACCAATAGCTGATACTAGAGATCTGTGGATGGATGGGGGTCTTCATGGTGGATTTCACCCTCGGAGTGCTGGTTGTACCAGTTATGGAGCTGGTGGGTTAGTGTAGACCTCTAGGCCTTCCGTTTTTCTTTCACGGAGACTTGCTGCGAGTTGATATGATCGTGCTGTCGTGGGAGTTTGGTGAGGTGGCCTCCATGAGGAGATCTTGTACCGAGTATTTGTGCTGCGGAGGTGAAGCTCCTACTAAGATGATCTGATGAGTCTGTAACATCCGTAGTTGGTGGTTTCGTCTTTCGTGTCGCAGGTTAGTGGTAGAAGCTATTTCAGGAGCGTTGGTGGTGCTGTAAGTATTTGTAGACAGCACGTCTGCTGAGATGGTGATGGTAGAAGTGTTGGTAGACGCTGGAGAGGGAAATACCTTTTGTTTGTGCCTTCCGGGTCTTGAGTGGTTTTGGAGTCTGTGTTGAGATCGACCTCGTGGTCGTCCTGGTGGTAGTCTCCGGAGTGGTAGTGGAGGCAGTGATACCTGTGTCTAGGGCGATGATGGAGTCCAGGCCGTTGGCTAAGTACAGCGTGTTGATTGAGTTCCTTGATGAACCATTGATTGTCTGGTCCGGCAAGCCACTCCGCTAGTCAAATAAGATCAGGAATTAATCATGCCTGCACGTGATACAAGGGACTGTGAGGGTGCTGGTTGATTCTTAGGTCCCCAGTGTGGGGGCCGGGTGGCCTGTTGGGAAGAGCCACTGTTAAAATTAGGAAGTCGGGCGCAAAGGTTACGCTTCAGGACATGGTGCTGACACTTGTTGGTGGGGTGGGAGTAGTTGTAGTACGGAAAGCACTGTAAACTAAAGTAAATGTTTTTTAAAGTAAACTTTTATTTCATTTATTTATATATATACAAGAAGATACAATGGGGTTCATGAAAGTACATAACATTGATGTTTTTCCATTCTTGTAAAGCCACTAACACGTATAGCTTGTTAACGTAGCGTGTTAGTGGCTTTACAAGAATGTAAAAACATCAATGTTAAAGATGGCTTTCCATGTTGCCTTTTGCTTCTTTAAATCTATTCTCATAATAAGATTTTGCTATTCTTACTATATTGGTAAGCATTGATGAGTACCTCTTAACTACTTCTTTTGTGACCTGGCCAATCCTAAGGGAAGAAGGCCTAAGGCCAATGTCTCCGTGGTGTAGTGGTAAGACACTCGCCTGGTGTTCCGCGAGCGCTTTGTCATGGGTTCGTATCCTGGCCGGGGAGGATTTACTGGGCGCAAATCCTTAACTGTTGCCTCTGTTTAACGCAACAGTAAAATGTGTACTTGGATGAGAAAAACGATTCTTCGCGGCAGGGGATCGTATTCCAGGGACCTGCCCGAAACGCTACGCGTACTAGTGGCTGTACAAGAATGTAACAACTCTTGTATATATCTCAAAAAAAAAAAAAATGTGACTAAGGGGAAGAAGTTGCAGAAGCCACCTCCATTCACAACTTTAAGGAAAGGTTCGATAAATATATTGAGTATTAGAATAATGAAGCTTTAAAGCAACGGGTACAACAAGATAAGGAGGCGGGGCATAAAGACCTAGACCTCACTTTCCCGTAGTCACTGATAGGTAAGTAATCAGCTGGATTGGTCTCCCCTGTTCCCTCGAAGGGGTGGTGGGGGGACTCACCCGGAAGATAATACACTTATTTATCTTACTGTGTTGTTCGTTGTATAGTATGTTTGTAGCAAGTGCACTATAAATTCAAAATAATAAAAAAATTTACACTAGTATATTTAAAATCTTTGTTTTCAAGAAGTATGGCAAGTAGTTCGGTGTGCAGGGTAGACGAGGCCCTGTCTAACATAGAAAACGAAATCCTGACTACAAAAAAGCGGCACGGATCAGCTGTCGCCATAAACACAACATCCCGCCCTCGTCGCCATGCGCATCTAACTCTAAACCACGTCTGGTTTAGTGGTGACCCTTGCATCAGCTGGAAACACCAACACCTTCCAAGCCTGGCCCTATGACCCCCGAGGTTCCATTGTGACGCTTCTCCCAACATTTCCGCTCGTGCAGTGATAAGGAGGAGGAAAATATCTTGAAGAAAAGCTGTATTCAATAACTGTATGCCTGTCAAAAAGAAAATTTTAACTGTTAGTAGCATTATATTGTCGTTGTAATATTAATCAATAATTTATATTTGAAAGGTAAAAAAAAAATTGTCCGAACTGGTAAAAATATATGGGTGCAAAGTGACTTAATTCATCCAAAAAGAGGCATTGGGTGTAAGGAAGCATGCTCAACGACTGCTGGAATCGAACCTGGAGCCAATCCGGTTACAATGAACTATATAATCAGTTACCCGCTATGCCATGAGACGCCAGCAGCTAGCAGATCTTGGAGTATCCTTGTGTGCTCTTGAGATGTGATAGTCGTCTGGCTCTTACTTCATCCATGACATTATTGTCTTGCACACACTAGGCCTACACTGTGTGTGGTGTGATCGGCTGGCTCCTTCCCTGCCGTGGGTCACCAGGTGTCATCAAGTGATTTACTTTTGCCAGTTGGCTTTGTTATTTTTAGCGATATTGGTTTCCACTCTGGAAGCTGGTCTGGCAAGCGACACAGCAGAGTTCCATCTTCGTCTTTAACTCAACAAGAAGTTCTCACATTAAGTCGGCTCCAAGAAACTGCATTCAAGCCTTGCCCAACCATCAATTGTGATGTGCCATTGTTACATTTCTCCCAACAATACCACTCGTGCTGTCTCTGGGAGGAGACCACTTCCATGCAACTTGTATATACCTTAAAGAATATTTCTCAGCTCAAGGTATGAGACATCCTGCATGTTATTGTGCTTTTGTGACTTCTAATTACCTGAATTTACCGGAGGGGCCACTAACACATTAGTGGCCTTGACAAAGACAGGAACCTGGCAGCGTGTCAAAAAGGGTCCTCCTATTTGCCCCTGATGATTTTTTCCCAGCTGGATATAAAAATTCCAGTTTTAGCATTTACAGCATTGACTGGTAGCCAGCTCCATGGGTTTATATATATCCAACCACTTGGGCTGGACGGTTCTCCCTTCTCGCAGGCCTGTGTTCAATCCCCGACCATCCAAACGGTTGGGCATCATTCCTTCCCTCCGTCCCATCCCAAAAATATTATCCTTTCAAGTGCTATACAGTCACAATGGCTTAATGCACTCTCCTAATAATTACCTCCATGGGTTTAGAACCCTGTGGGTGAAAAAGCATCTTGTGCTTTCATTTCTACATTGTGGCTTGTTGAGCCTTAAACTGTTGCTCCCTGTTTGTGTTGCATCTAACCTTTTGAAGAAATTGTCCAGATCAACATCGTCCATATTGTTCAGCATTTTAAGTTTTAATGCGATCCGCGATGTTCATACACTTAGGCTTATATTGAGGTGACCCTTCTCCAAGGTTGAATTCTGGCCTTTCTCCCCCAGGATGCAACCCCCACAACAAGCTGACTAACTCCTGGGTACCTACTTGCTATTAGGTGAACAGGAGCATTTGGTGATAGGAAATGTAAATCGCCTCATGGATGTCACTCTGGGACAGGCGTGGAGAATTGCTGTGGAGAGATTTTTACCTGTTTACGGTGGAAACTCAGTTGACACATGGAAGAGAGGCGTTAGTGATTGGAAGGAGAATCCCCTTTCATTATAACATCAAGCAGTGATGACTTCTCTGGGTTACTCTTTCTCCTACATTTTACAGGCATACCACTAGGACCTGGTTGTGGTTCACTGCTTGCTTGTCTTACTACTACTACTATGTCCCAACCATGTTAAAGACTGTACCTCTCTCAACCAGTTTAAGATAAAAACGAAGCACTACCTAATAAATTCCCTGTAACCTACCTTACCCCTCTATTGTCAACCCATGTCTGTTCTTTTTAAACAACGCTGTTTGTCGACCTAATTGTATTTGTGCTGCTTTTTCAGCCATGTTCCCCCCTTTTTTATCTCTATTTTTATTTGTTCTCAACACATTTTATTCTTTATACTCGCTTAGTATTAAGCTTTAGTCATTTAAATTTTTTATGCCCGAAACACTTTGTGTAATAGTGGCTTTAGGCATTGTATGTACTAGCCCTATCTATAAATCCATCATTCTTTGTAAAATCTCTTGTATGTATGTACCTTACCTAAATAAACATTTATTTATTTATTTATTATTAAGAATCTGTCTGAAGACACTTGTTTTTCCCTACATTTTAACACTTGTATGTAGAGAGACATCACATTGTCATTAAAAAGGGCAATGCATCGGCCTGCTACAGCTTTATCTGGGTGAGTTTTTTCAACAAAACTTTGCAGTTCTTCCCATACTTCACCTATTTTCATAATGAGGAAGGGACATCCTCTACTGCCTCCTCTCACAACAATTTTCTTATGTTGAACCTTACTTCTGACTTTCTTCGGACTCATTACATGATATAAAATAATTACTTTTATGTTCGAAAACCAAAAAAGCAGAAAAACAATTAAACTCTTTACAAAGAATTCAAGCACGAACATCACTAAGCGGGAAGCACTGGTAAACTGAACCACGATTGCCTGTGCCACCAAGAACCACATACTCAGTCGACCCATACTGTACTTGTATCAACAAAGTCGCAAGGTGAGGCAACATTTGTAACCCAATTAGAATTTTCCAAAGAAATTGAATTCGTAACCCCAAAAAATTGTAAAGAGGGTTATTCGCTACCCCAGGTTCCACTGTATAGGGTACACTTGAGAGGATGTGCAGTGACTAAATATCTAACATATTCAAAGATTTAAGTAAGGGGGCCGAGTGCTTTCTGGGGCCAGAGTTTGTTATTGTTCTAATAGCTGATTTGTGTTGAGTAATTAGAGGACTAATCATCTTCAAGAGAAAATTAGATAGTTTTCTACAAGAAGTGCCAGACCAGCCTGGCTGTAGTGGATATGTGGGCCTGCGGGCCACTCTAAGCAACAGCCTGTTGGACAAATCTCTCACAAGTCAAGCCTGGCCTCAAGCCGGGCTTGCGGAGTAGAAGAACTCCTAGAACCCCATCAAGCAGGACGCAGATGATTTTGGGTACGAATACCATAATTGCGATAAGGATACATGAGAGAGTAATAGAGCATTACCAGGGCAGGGCAAGGTACATAATAACTGATTTTAGAACGAATGCCAACTGTTTTCGAAACTTTTTTAGCTATATTTTGTTACTCAAAGTTTTAGTTATATTTTGCTATTCATAGTTACTCAAAACTGCATTTTTAAATTACCCAATGTCATTCATTTTTCAGGAGCATAATGCCACGTAAATGTGTGGTGTGTGGAGCGTCACACAGCGTCAACCTTTCGGTGTTTGCCTTTCCCAAGTCACACTACCAACGCAGTGCCTGGGTGACTGCTATTCAGCAGATTTTTCCTGCATTCTGTGATCCACAGGTGTGTGAGCAGAGTTTAGACTGAAGATGTTCAGAAATTATTCTTCCAGCCAGATACTTAAAGGACTGGAATCTTTTGAAGAAAACTTAGATTACCATTCATCAAATGCTTGTTTTCATCCTGTAATTCATTTATTCAGACATACTGTAATTTCATTCTCACCCACTTCACTTTCATTAGTTTCTGAAATTCTTGATACATTATATATATGATATAATTTTGTAGGCCCTCCCTTGCTTAATTATTATGTTTAATGTAGGTAGATGATGTATTAAAATTAATTAGGCTAATTTTTCTCTCTTAGACTGATGGCCATGTAGCTGGTGCCCGAAATGGCGTATGTGTACGGCATTTCCATCCTGAAGATGTTAAAAAGGGAAAGACATCAAGCCTTCATCGGAAAGCTGTTCCGCTACTAGTTACTAACCTCGGTAATGATGAAGGTGTTGCTCGAGACAAGAGTAACCTTTCACTATCATTATCTGTACATGAAAGTGACAAGAGAAAAGAAAGTTTCATAATGAGTGAAAACATTTTCAAGGGTACTGCTCTAAATCATATGTCTGCTAATAGCAAGAAAGAAAATAACTGGCATGGAGACCAGTCAAAAGCTGAAAATTGTCTGGGTATTAATATCAATGATTATCTTCCAAATGAAAATTCTTATGTGGACTCGAACAAGAGCAGCATTAATGATAATGTATTTGCATTCAACAACATGGAAAGTTCAGGAAAAGATATTTGTCTTGTTTGTGGAAAAGATGATAACAATTTTAGCTTAATATGTATTTTAAGTGCCCATGATTATTCTGGTAACATTCCAATGAGTTTGTTGTTGGCAAAAATTGTGGGTAGGGCAAAACAAGAGACACTGTGTGTGAGTATGAAGATTTGCTCCAGGTGTGAGAATCTTGTCCAAGAAATAGCACAAATTGAAGATGATCTCAAATTTAAAAAGCAAGTTATAAAAAAAATGTTTGAGTCAACTCTCCAAGAGCACAAGGTGAAATCTAATGTGGTGGTATCCACTCCTAAAACCTCTGATGTATATTCAGAGGATGTAAATTGCAACGAAAGTTTAATAGCAGACTCGTGTCACATTGATGATGTGAATTGTTCAGAAAAGGTTCGAAAAAGTTCGAGAAGGCAAGCATCCTTCAAAAAATATCATTGTCCTCAGTGTAAAGAGGTTTATTCTAGTCTTGCATTATGGGTTCACCATTTATCAAAACATTCTGACATCGAAGATTTATCAATGAAAAATAAACCCAAACAAGTGACATCCAGAATGAAGAAGCATAAAATGGGTATTCATATTTGTGAGGAATGTGGCAAGACATTCTTTTGTAAACAAACCCTTCTAGCCCATGCATCTGCTCACCAGAAAGGTTGTGAGTGCTCTGTATGCGGTCGGTATCTAACCACTAAGGCCAGGCTCAAAGTTCATCTCTTTAAATTTCATGGAATAGGAGAAGAAAAGCATAAAGAGGTTGCATGTCAAGACTGTGGAAAGTGCTTCGGTACCAAAGCTGGACTGCGTTATCATCGTAACGTTGTGCATCATGTAGGCACCAAGTATGTATGTGAGCACTGTAATAAAGTGTTTTATTATCATGTACCATATAGAAGTCACCTGTTATATGCTCATGGGGAAAAAAAGATAGTATGCGAAACTTGTGGGGAGAAATTTTTTACAATATCCAAATTGAACACCCACATTAATGCTGTTCACAGAAGTGCCCAGTCGTGGACATGCGATGAGTGTGACTCAAAATTCACAACTTACACAGCATACCGCCATCATGTAAATGTGAAACATCTAAAAGTGCAATACACTTGTGATTATTGCAGTGCACAATTCCGAAAAAAATCATCACTGATGCTCCATTTCTGGAAACATTCTGTTTATATTTGTCAACTTTGTAGGGAGAATTTCTCTAATAACAACGAATTACGAAGTCACATGTCTCTTATTCATGGTAAGAATGTTAACTGGAAGAGCAAGAAAAAGCAAAATGCACAATTGCTAGAGAAGAAACTTGTTGAGGAAGTAGATGATCTGCAGAAAAACCGTGAATCAGATGAACATATTCAGCAAAATGAACATGTAACATCCATTGTAATAAATGATCTCCTTATGACTGCAGAATCTTACGATAACAGTAGTCTTCAGCCCTTTTCTCTGTCGTGTGAAAAGCTACCCGAGAAACATACATATGCAAATGATGAAGATATGAAGGTTAAAACTCTAAGCATTATTGATGCTGCCTCACAAGACCTCAGAGGTGTTGATCCAGTACAGTTTGATACAGTGGAAACTTTGGAGGTAAAGTCCTCCCATGATCACATTGAAATGACACCAGGAGTGTCTCTCATCAATGTGCAGATTCTTGGAGACATGGAAATTTCACAGAGTGATACACTGGGAGACTTGAAGAGTACTATGTTAACAGATGCTGCAGACCACCTGGCCCATGATGATCAGCTTCATAATGAGGAAAATATGCCCAGCCACTTGGCAGTTGAAACTCACCTTTCAGGAGAACATCTTCAAGTTGGAGGCGGCTTGGAATCTGCAAATCACACATTAGAAACTGCAAACGAATTGCAAACTACATGTCATTTAAATGCTGCAGAACATTTAGAATCATCTTGTCACTTAGAGGGTACAGACCACCTAGATGCAAGGAGCCATATTAGTCCTGAAAGTCGTATAGAAGTACCCAGCCAACTTGAATCTCATCACAGCCTTGAAACAGGAAACCATTTGGAGGTTGCAGGACATATTGACACAACAAACCACATGGATGTCACTAGTCATATTACTGATTCCAACCATCTTAATTCTAATACAAGTATGGGTGTTACAAGCGATCTTGACATCTCGGATCATTTACAACCAGCAGAGCATCTCCATATTCCAACTAATATCAATGACCCAGTACATTTAAATTCTTCAAGTCATTTGGAGCCTACTGATCAGTGCTCTCTCCCATCAATGATAAGTCAGATAGAGGAAGAAGTTGATGAACAGATGGTAGACCCGGTGGATACTCCTATGGTAACAGAAATAGATCCAGAAATATGTGATATGACAAGTGAAGTGAACACTCCAATCAGTGAGTGTGCAGGCACACACTTGAGTCAGGAAATTAGTCAGCATATGCCTAAAGGAACAGAAATTGAGATGGCAGATCAGAGTTTAGACAAACAAATTGAAAAAATAGATGATGTGGAACTAGAACCATTTTCTGTTACTCTAGATGGAAAAGGAGATGTTCAATATCAGTATGTGATGTATATATCTGCTCCTGGGGAAGATGATAATCGTAGTTGAAGGTGGTCTATATTTTTTTAATTTAATAATCGCATAGCTTATTCAAAGTGGAATACATCTTTAGACATCAAGGGTTATGCTTATTCTTAATCCCTTGTACATTTACGACATGCTTTGCATTTTCTTAATTTTATCTTTTACCAGATTCATATGGAGAGAAAGATGGATAGCTGTTACAAATATCAAATTACATACTATCAAATATGACCCATCACCACTGTCTTTATCCTACCATCAAACTGGAAGAGAAATATCTTTGGCTAGGTTACAAATTGGCCACACACAATTAACTCGTTTATGCACTTCCTTGTAGAATGTCCTGATTTTCAGATTGGTCAGAAGTTTTGCATTCCCACTGTTCCTTTGAGTCTAAGTCCTTCGATAAAATACTTGATGAATCTAATTCCTGATTTCTTTTAAAATGCTTATGTCATTTGAATATTCTCTGACATAAATGGTGTTACTAAGTCTTGTGGGTTTGGCACTTTTGATTACTACAGTAATTACATCTACATTTAACAAATTTCTTGTTGAATTGTGAGTGGTGACCATTTAATGAACATGATGATAATACAGAAGAGGACTGTTACAGAGTGCAGCTATTCAACTACTGTATGTATACACATCACACTAAGCATATTTAACTTAAGCTAATGGGTTGATATTGGATACCAGAGGTTATTTGCCTCTGCATAATTGTCTTGTAGTGGATTTGGTCCATTATAGGGAGGTCTGGATTTGGGAGGGTGCTCGGCATTTGAAGTGTTTCATGTGCACACATTTGTGATCCCAGAGATATAAATGCACTCTCATTAGGTAATGGTTTACATAGTTGAGAGTGCTAACAGGGAACAAATTATACTGTACTTGTGGAAAATACATTCCCTCAAGCAAGCTAAACCAGCATGTGATTGACATGGCAAATGGGTGGTTGATTTGCAAAATAATATTTTGTTGAGAACTTTTTTAGAATTCATGTGTATGATGTGTATTTTTAAAAGGAGGTCTGAGATGTATTAAGACACTATATAGACTGAGAAATGGGGCAGCAACCTGGGTCTTACTTCCCCTCTCACCAGTGTCACTGTCCACTTAAGGGGAGAACCTCAGTCACTCACAGGGGAAATGTCCCACATTAACTTGGTATGGAGTTGCAAGGCTAAGGAAACCGGCAGCTCCCAGATCTCCAATCTATGTGTCTGCGAACACAGATCCAGGCTCTTTGCTGCCAATTTGCCCCACCAAGTTGATATCCAAGGTTGCTAATCTGACTAATATTTTATTCAGGCCAGATCATTTCTATCAATACAGTGGTAATTCTGTCCCAGCCTGGCATTTTCTTAATTGTGCTCAGTGTTCCACCAGACCCAGGCAAACAATATAAAGGGTGAAGAAAGGAGTGAAACGAAACACAATGTAAAAGAATAAACAATTTACTGGAAATAAAAGTACATTTGCTTAAGGCCGAAAATATCTTAACTACGTATGATATATGGCAACACTCCTGCGGTGAAATTCAATAACAATATAGCAACACCTTTCAGTATTTTTAATAACAGAATTCATTAGACTTTTGATTTACTAAGTGTTCCAGCAAAGAGTATCACTATGAATTCACTTATATAATAATGTATTCATTATTATATAATATCCTTTTCATTATGTAATAATCATTTCGTTAATCACACACAATTTATCAAGGTCAATAAAATATGGTGCAACTCAAATTCATACTTATTCTGATACTGTCTTGAATATTGGCTCTCTCTCACCACAATAAATCGCTCCGCAAACATAGAAATAAATAATTTTCACTTCCTATGAAACGAGGGAAATTTAATCTACATTAGTACTGTATTGAAGAACAGAGGCTGTAGTCCTAGCAGCCTGTTGCAGTTGACAGATGCTTCAGGTGCTCTCTTGTGTGTTTCCTGCAAAGTTTTTCTTCTTATCCTCTTTAAAAACAATGGTAGATCATTTCTTCCAGCTTGTTAACAATCTTCTGACAACTGATCTTGGACGATCTCGCTAGGATCAGGCGAATGACTCCCAGACTTCCATCAATCTACCATGCTGAATACTGGTCCCCTTCTGTGTGGAAGTGTTCAGTAGCTACTTCCCCCAGGGCTGCTATGTTCCTGAGACATCAGGGCCAGGACTTCGCACCTACATTCTTCTCACAGCTCTAACCCGGTAATGTCCCGCAGATCGATTCTCGATCCCCCAGCACTGCCTCTTGAGTCATGCAGGAGTACTGATGTTACGGAGCTTCTTTCGACCTCCTGTCATGTTCCAGCTCTCTAAATCTTCCTCTAGAAGTTGACTATTAGCTCCTCTACATTGCCTCTTGAGTACTGCTTAGAGTAATGTCCCTTTTCGTAGCTTAAACCTCACCTATGTGGGACTGACATGCGACATGACCTGTCTCGTTCCTTCCTAGGTGGCTAGTGATAGCGGGTGGTGTTCCCATCAAGCAGTTCTGTTATTAATGTCATGCCATGGCCACTCTCTGGTCAAACTAGACACACCACCGCATCCAACTAGATTTCTTAAAACCAGGAATATTGTCGTCTCCTCCCTGCTGAGCTGCCATATTTGGTGCAGTGCTCACTCTCACCTCCCCAACAAATTAAAAAACTTAAATAATTCAAATCTTTGGCATCTCGCCTCCCTCTAAATATTGTCGAACAAAACTAGGGGCTTTCTTGGCTGTTTACATGGGTACGACTTTCTGGTCGGGTGAGGAGCGTATTTAGACGGTCCACCTAACACAAAGGGCAGTAATTGAATTTTCCATATATGTAATGCATACAGTGCTGGTATGATGTAGTTCTGTAGGAATATGATAAGGTTGCCAACCACATGTTTGCTCTGGCATATACAAGGATGTTGTGACATGCTGAAATTCATGCCTATTATAAGCTTTTGTGTCTGGGGAAGGTGACCCTGTTTAAGTGTTAAGACAAAGAAGTTAATCCTTTTTTCTTTTATTTTTTTTATTGGAGGAACCCATTGCTGGCTCCCCATTACTGGGTCACATCAGTCACACGAGTCTTGTTTGGCCTACTGGGGATGAGGGCCAGAGCCTGGCCTCCCTCGCAGAGGTGCAGAGAGGAGGGGACTATTATCCTCACCCTCATCAGGATAACATCCGGGAAGCCAGTGGAGCTTTAAAGGCAACTGCAAGGTTCATAAAAAATGAAGCATAGAAAGAGCCAAATGGCTCTATGAATGATTCAGAAAAAATTATGTTCATTCTAAACTAGCTCAAATATGTTAGTACCAAGAGCCACCATCAGGAGGCCCAGAGACCCAGCCCACAGCCAGCTCCAATGGTCTGTCCTGTCACTGATGTGGTTGATGCCATTAGTGTGCTCCTCAGGTCTAACTTACAGCAAGTGCCACTGCTTTTGGCTAAATGCCAGCCATCCTTCGGACATTGTCCTGCAGGGGCCATTTGCTTGGTTTTTTATTTCCTTTGTGAACAGGGTATTTGGTTCACATGTGTGTGTTTCCTTCCTGGCAACTTACACTTCGAGTTGCATGTGTTCAGGGTTCCTTCCCTGTGTGCTCTTTTAGCATTGCCACTGTACTTACAGAGTTCTAGTTCTGGTAATTACCTAAGTGTAATTACCTAAGTGTAGTTACAGGATGAGAGCTACGCTCGTGGTGTCCCGTCTTCCCAGCACTCTTTGTCATATAACGCTTTGAAACTACTGACGGTCTTGGCCTCCACCACCTTCTCACTTAACTTGTTCCAACCGTCTACCACTCTATTTGCGAAGGTGAATTTTCTTATATTTCTTCGGCATCTGTGTTTAGCTAGTTTAAATCTATGGCCTCTTGTTCTTGAAGTTCCAGGTCTCAGGAAGTCTTCCCTGTCGATTTTATCAATTCCTGTTACTATTTTGTACGTAGTGATCATATCACCTCTTTTTCTTCTGTCTTCTAGTTTTGGCATATTTAATGCTTCTAACCTCTCCTCGTAGCTCTTGCCCTTCAGTTCTGGGAGCCACTTAGTAGCATGTCTTTGCACCTTTTCCAGTTTGTTGATGTGCTGCTTAAGATATGGGCACCACACAACAGCTGCATATTCTAGCTTTGGCCTAACAAAAGTCATGAACAATTTCTTTAGTATATCGCCATCCATGTATTTAAATGCAATTCTGAAGTTAGAAAGCATTGCATAGGCTCCTTGCACAATATTCTTAATGTGGTCCTCAGGTGATAGTTTTCTATCTAGAACCACTCCTAGATCTCTTTCTTTATCAGAATTCTTTAAAGATTTCTCACATAATATATAGGTTGTGTGGGGTCTATGTTCTCCTATTCCACATTCCATAACATGACATTTATTAACATTAAATTCCATTTGCCAAGTGGTGCTCCATATACTTATTTTGTCCAGGTCTTCTTGAAGGGCATGACAATCATCTAAATTTCTTATCCTTCCTATTATCTTAGCATCATCAGCAAACATGTTCATATAATTCTGTATACCAACTGGTAGATCATTTATGTACACAATAAACATCACTGGTGCAAGAACTGAACCCTGTGGTACTCCACTTGTGACATTTCTCCATTCCGATACATTGCCTCTGATTACTGCCCTCATTTTTCTATCAGTCAGAAAATTTTTCATCCATGATAGAAGCTTACCTGTCACCCCTCCAATATTTTCCAGTTTCCAGAACAACCTCTTATGTGGAACTCTGTCGAAAGCCTTTTTTAGGTCCAGATAGATGCAGTCAACCCAGCCATCTCTTTCCTGTAATATCTCTGTGGCCCGATCATAGAAACTGAGTAAATTCGATACACAGGATCTTCCTGATCGAAAACCATACTGTCTGTCTGATATTATATCATTTCTCTCCAGGTGTTCTACCCATTTAGTTTTGATTAGCTTTTCCAATACTTTCACTATTACACTTGTCAATGATACAGGTCTATAATTGAGGGGGTCTTCCCTGCTGCCACTTTTGTAGATTGGAACTATGTTAGCCTGTTTCCACACGTCTGCTACGATTCCTGTACACAGGGATGCCTGAAAGATCAGGTGAAGTGGAATGCTGAGCTCAGATGCACATTCTCTCAGAACCCATGGTGAAACGCCATCTGGGCCAGCTGCTTTGTTCCTCCCGAGCTCCTTTAGCATATTTTCCACTTCATCTCTAGACACCTCTATCCGCTCTATGTTGTTCTCT